GTGAACTGTTTACCTGGCAGCTGACACTGCTAGAAAGTAAGTAAAAAGAAGGAAGTTAGCAGCTGAAACTGCTAAGTGCAAGCATTTGAACTGGCAGCAGAAACTGTCAGTAGCGACGGAGCACGGCAGTACAGGCGCAGAAGAATCTCAGAGATTCTATTTCGACTTTAATGGCTGCCCTAGTTAGGATGTTCATCGACTTTGCGATGTTGAAACTAGACGAGAACTTACTGAAAAACGATATTGGTTAAATGAACTTATTACGACAAAAAGATAATTACCAAGAAAAGAGACCAAAAATATGAATTACGGGGGTAGCCATCCCCTTAAACAGTCGGAGGCGTTGCTTGTGTTAAGATTAGTCCTAAAACACGTGGCAGCTTATTTGCTGCGACTTAACACAGGGCCCAGCTAACGAGAGCTAAACTCTCTGAGCTTGGTGTTAAGTACTGCTAATTTGTTGGTCTAGTCACTTTTCGTCTCGAGTTAACACATCAATCCGAGACTCCAGCCCGTCGCTTAGACCATGCTGTACTGCTCCAGCTTGGTCGGCAAAGACCACTTGAAGCCCGGGATCTTGCTCTGCTCTAACGCTTTCTTTCGTGCGCGTCTAATCGCATCGAAGTTGCGGCCGATGAGGTCGGTCACGTCTTCAACGCTGTTTGCTGTCACATTTCCCAGCTGAAAAATTCCCATCGCTTCGGCGTGTCTGTTGAAGTCCTCTTGCGGTAGGATCTTCGTGAGGATATCCGAACTGTTCGAATGCGTATCGATCCTCGATAGGAATCTGTTGTGCTGGTGTTGTACTCGTTGTCGGACGAAGAGGCCGTTGACCGCCATGCCTCTGCTCTTGCGCGACAATCCTGCTCCTGCAATAACATGCTGTGCCGCTGTGTTGTCCCCTGAGACAACGCTAAAACCGGACGGCACTAGGCCTAAGGGCTCGCCCGCGTCATAGACGTGCTCGCCAAAACGTGCTTCGCCGATCTCGACGAGAGACTCTGTTGTGTTTTCGTGCACTCGCACCGCAATAGCCCCGGTGGCCAACTCAGCTTCAGCCGCACTCGCGCACGTGATGGTAATGCGAGCCGAAAGCGCGTTGACCATGCTGCCCCGGTAGAGCGACTCGACGCCGCCGTGGCTGCATTTTGCCGAGAAGGATGCGTCATAGAGCGTATGTAGGGTAGCACGTTCTTGCTCGTGTCCGCTCTCGTGCTCGGTGTCCGTGGCTTGTCCTGGTGTTAGGTCTAAACGCCACTTGTTGTTCGCAACGAAACTTGAAAAACCCTCTGCAGCCGTCATTGTGCATTTGTACGGAGGTGCTGACGCCAATGCGCGAATTGGAAACAACAGGTGCGGGCCTGTCAGCATGAGGAACTGATTGGAACCGCTTGCCACCATTTTCTTCTTTAGGTTTTGCGGGGTGGTCTGCTCTTCTGCTGCAAATGCCAGGGCGCATTCCTCAGTCAGTGTTGCTCTAACTGGGGTTTTCGGAATCTTAACTCCCTGGTCGGGGTACTTGCTCGTCAAGTACTGCAACTGGCTGTGCACTAGCAACGGCGGGCTCAGACAGGTGGTGATCTCAATGCCTCGAAATTCCACTGTCGTGAGCTCGACCACGCCGTAGTCCTCCGTCTCGTAACTCTTAGTTACCCTGTTGCCCTCTTTCAGCTTGATCTGGCTTTCCAGGCCGGCCAACTGTTGGGGCCAGTCGTCTCCGGACTTGATCAAGCTGTCGACAACGTGCGTAAGCGCCATGGAGCGCGTTCTGGACCATGGATAGCGCGGTAGTGGGCGATATGCCATGTCATCGCTGGATCGTTGTTCCTCCAGCTCGTGGACGTTGTGCTGCTCTCCGGGCACAGTGTAAGGGCCTAGCTTGAGCGAATCTTCGCGGAGAGACCTGTACAGGCGCTGGCTTGCGAACTTGCTATCACGTTCTTTTTCGTAACACGCTGGAGCGCCGCGTACGCCGTTGATATTTCCCCGCAGCATCTGTTCCTTCGAAGTGCCGTCAGCCTGTTCCAGCGAAAACAGCGGAAACGGAAGTGCCTCGCAAAGCGGCATGTTCTTACCCGCTCCCTCAAAACGCCAGTCAAAGGTCGTATTGATGTACGCGCTTTCTTCATCGATCACGCCGACTTTCTGCCCCGCCAATAGAGAGGCGATGCTCAGCAATCGAATAGACTCAAGCGAAGGTGTGGATCCCGTTGCTCGGATCTTTGTGAAGACCTTCTCAGCCTGCGAACGCTGCACGACGTTCCACAGAATGACAAACCTGCACTTCACAAATTCTTGTCCGTTGGCGTGCTTCTTTGCTTTGTACAGGGCCTGCGCAATCGGCCGAACCGCTTTGCGCTCGCGGTAGACGTTCTTGTACTCTGGCGGTACCGGAACGAACGCGCCGCTTTCCGTGTGCTTGCTGTACTCTTTGTTCCACGCCTCCTCCATCGCTGCAAACCCGAAGCGCAACTCCAGCGCGCGTTTGCCCGAAAACCCACGCCCCGTCGCGTCGTCGGCTGCTGCCTCGTGCGACAAGACGCTGTCCGCGTCTGGCTCACCGTCTGTTGTGTCGTCTAACGCCGCAAGGAAAACTTCTCCCGGCTCTCCGTGAAAGGCGCACGACGCCCAGAACGAACCGTCCTGCACATAGATGTGCCCGTCCTGCCACGCGTACATCCCGTTCGGGAGGCTAGTTTCGCCGGATGGAAGATGATGCCGCATCTTCTCCGGCTGTAGGATTTCCTTCATCTCTGCCTTATCGTACGTGAGTCCGGCTGGCGGGATGTGCTGCGGCGTCGGCGCATCGTCGTATGCGCTAAACTTTGGCTTCCGAGGCAGAAACATGCCCGTGCCCGCAACTGGAGTGCCTGCTCCAGAGGCGGAAGACGCTGCGTCTGCCTTTTCCTCGCTCGCGAACGTGACTTTCTTGCCCGTGTCAACTTCCTCAAAAGCCATCTCCTCGCGAAGCGGCTGTAAGCGAGCGTCGATCTCGAGCCCGACCACAGAAACGGATGGCTGTTTTGCTTCTTCGACGATGCGCACCGTGTTGCAATGGAATTCCTCATCATCGTCTGTGATCAGGATGTGCGCGTGAAACCGCGAAAAACCGACCCAAGTGCCAAACACTCCTTTTCCGCTGATCTTTTCCGCTGTCGTCACGTTTCCGGACGCCGGAATGCCGTAGCATTTCGTTCCAAACGTAAGCGCATCCGCCAGCTTCAACACCTCGTGGGAGCCTTCTCCTTGCCACTCAGTCGGCGTCTTGGTCGTTCCGGAGCGGTGCTTTCGCTCCGTGCGCATTCGGACCCAAAAGAAATGCAGCATCGCTCTAAAGCCGTAATTGGCGTCAACACCAGCCGAAAGAATCAATACTCGTGCGCCTGCAAGGGCCTGACCGAGTAGTGACTCAACGCCGCCGTGCGCTTTTCTGTGCGATCTGCTGCGCAGCATCCGGATGTCGTTTTCGCGCATCAAACTCAAAAGAGAGTTTGTGCCCGCTTCCAGCGGGTTGTCCGGGTACAAAAACTTCATCTTCTTCCAGCCGCGGCGACTCAAACCAAACTCAAACCCAAACCAAACTCCGCTTCCCGCGGGTTGTCCGGGTACAAAAACTTCATCTTCTTCCAGCCGCGGCGAAGCCAATCGCGAAGGCCCTTCTCGAAGATGCCACCTTTGGTCTCTGCTTTGGTGCCTGCGCCTGCTTCGCTGCCGTAGTCGTACATCACGCAGACGTACTTCGACTCGTCAGCCGGGTCTTGGGGGTAGGGTCCGCCAACGTCTGCTGCGACAATGTGCGAGACCGTGTCCTCTGTGGTTGCGCACTCGTTTTGGATCGTGTGGATCACTTTTGCTTGCCCACGCGGATCTTGCTTTATCAGCCCTGCACGGCAACTAGCGCATCGCTTCGGGTCATGCGGGTAGTGCCCTCTTCGCGCATGCTCGTGGTACCAGAGCGCGTCCGCGTGGTTCAACGGCATAAGCGCCTGATAGGTTGGGCAGCTCAAAAGAAGACTGTCGACCGAAACCTCCCACACGATCTCAACGCGGTCTCCGAGGAGGGTGCTGTTGATAGACTCCCCCGTCTGCCAATCGAAGATCTGCGCGCGCGTTGGAATGCACTCCAACTGGTGATCTCGATTCAAAGCAATGGTAGGCGAAAGGCAGCAAGAAAAATCGCCGCAAACGAAGTACACCGACCTCCACTTTGTCAGGCCTTGAGGCCGGATCTGTATGATCCCGTCGCCGTAAACCGTCACGCCCCCGTTCGCAGAGGCGGTGCCCCGCTTTTGCGGTCCGTCATATTCGCGGAAAATCGTGACCAGATGCTTCAGCTCCACCGGCAGCGCAAAAGTAGATGCTCCACTGTCGTCGATGGACGTAAACGTCGACGCGGAGGTCTGTCCGCCGAGAAACTCGTTGGTAGCCCTGAAAACGGGTCCGTCGTGCGTGTGGACGACGTCTGCTGAAAGGTTCTGGCCAAAAAGCGGATCCTCGTTGGGCATTCGAGCCCGGCAATCCATCTCGCGAAATTGGCCGTACAGAGTAAACATTGTGTCCTCACGCTGTTTCCACTCTGCCTTTTCTTCTGGTGTTTCCTGAAACCCGTGTCCGCTGCTCGCGCCCAGCATGCAAAAATTGCCGAAAAGGCGCGTCATCGACGGGTGCTGTTGCGCGCCGCCCGTCGCTCCCGCGATCAAATTGCGCTGAAGCTGCTGGTAGGCCTGCTGTGAACCGCTTGTTTGCGTCTGGGGCTGCTGGCCGCCCGGAGGCGCCATAGGTACCGCGCCGCTAGCCGGTGGCTGAAAGCCCGGTGGCTGCGACAAAGCGAATGCCGGGTTTGGTGGTTGTGTCGGAGGTAGCGACGGAGGCGCCGTTCCGTCGAGGGAACGGAAGTTCTGCTTGTGTTGTCCGCAGATGAAACACGCAGTCCGCGACGCGAAGTTCGTAGCTCCGCATTTGCACTGCCATCCGTTCGCTGCTAGCTCAGCGCGAGCATCGCCTTTGCCTCCGCCTTTCTTACCGCCCTTTGCTCCCTTTCCTGCTTTGCCTTGTGCGCTATGCGTCGTATTCGCAGCCGCCTTGGGCAAGTGTTGTCTTCGCAGGAAAGCCTTAGACTCGTCCAGCTTGAGCCTGCCTTTTTGTATCCGCTTCTGCGCTTCCTCGGATCGACCGTAGTCGAGCGCTGGACCGTAAGCGCACTCCGCATGAGGGACACGCGGGTGCGAGAATCCGCACCATCCGCAAACCGGTTTCTCTTTTTCCTTCTCTTTCGCTCTGTCTGCACCCGACGAAGGCGGTGGCGGTGGTCCTCCCGGTGGGAACGCGTGGTAGCCGTCGTTGGAAGAGGAACCGCTCCTGCTCCCCCCTGCCAAGTGCCGCGCAAGGTCGTCTGCCAACTTCTCCTGTTGAGGGATAGTCTTACCCGCTCGCAGACGCCGCGTTGCGTGCAAGTCGCACATGCGAAGCCACTCTCGGATGGTCGTTTCTGGCGAGACGTGGTGCGACATCCACTCTACCGTTGACGCGCTGCTCCAGTCGGTCAGCATGCGGAAGATGCTTTTTGTCTCGCCCTTCGTTATTTCGCTGTCCTCCAGCGTAAAGCTGATGCCCTCGGCGTTCTCCAGGATCGACTCTACGGTCTCCGTCAAGTACTGGACGGCCGCGTAGTTCTCGTTCCACTTCGAAGAAGGCAAGCTGCCCAGCAGCGAGGAAAGACGGTGCTCACAGCCGTCGGCACTTCTGGCCACGTTCACTCCGTGCTTCTCGTAGATGCGCGCCTCGAGAGCGAGGACGCAGGCCGCGAAATCTTCTTCCTCGATCGGCTTCATCTTCGTGTTGATGCCGCGCCACATCTCCTTGCCCACTCCAGCCAACATGCCGGATATCTGTGTCCAAGTCGTCTTTGCCCGCACGACTCCAGCGCGGTCTAGGACCTCGCGCATCTCGTGCCACTCCGCCGAAATCTGCGACGATTTTGACAGATGAAAGCGTGCGCCGGGTCCGATGTCGCGATGCAAACGTTCCTGCTGCGGCTGGGACGGCTTGTTCTTGCGTGGCACCGTCGTCCACGCTCCGGGGGTATCGTCTCCCCCATCGTCCGGAGGTGGAGGTGGTCGCGGGGTCGTCTCCTCGCACACGTAGTTGTCGTCCTCATCCGGCTCTTCCTCGGCGTCCGGTAGTGGTAGTTTCGCAGCTGCAGCCAGCTCAGCGGCCCTAACGCGTTCCTCAAATTCTTCTGCCATTTGTTCACGCGCCGTTGCCTCCGCTTTCGCTGCCTTCTGCGCAGCCTCCCGTTGTTCTTCCGCTACCTTTTGCGCTGCCTTACGCTGCTCTTCAGCAGCTTTCTGCGCCTGTTCCGCACGCCTGTTAGCCTCGCGCGCCGTCGCCTCGACCGAAGCGAGCATCCGAGCCGCTTGTTCCGCCTGGAGCCGAGTGCTGGCGTCTGCCGCGCTCCGCGCCTCCGCTCCCTGCATCGTCTGCTGTTGCAGTTGTGCGAGGAGCGACGCGTTCTGCGTCTGCATGTCCCGCATCATCGCGGCGTGCTGCTGCTGCTGATGCAACATTGACTCCTGCTGCATCCGCATTTCCACCTGGAATTGCGCTCGCATTTCCGCCATCTGCTCTGTCAGAGCAGTGACGGCCCGGTCCGTAACCGCCTGAGTAGCGTCCACGCGCCCGCCGAGGCTTGCGACAGCAGCGTCCGTTGCTTGCTGTGTATGCTGCACTTCTCCGTCGAGGCGTCTCACCGCAGCGTCCGTTGCTGCCTGCGTGTGCTCCACACGGAAATCGACCATCTGCACCGCATCCGCAGCCGTCTGTCTGCCGTGTCGCACCTGCTTCACGGTCGCCTGAAAACCTGCTGTCACCGCTTGTGTGAAGCTCTCAGCCTCCTGACGCGTGACGAAATCGCTCGAAGAAGCGGATGCGACGTTGCTAACCGAAGGCCCTGAAGCCGTCGTTGGCTGCGCAACAGCAGATACACCGACCGCCGGTGACGTCGCTGCGCCCTTGATCGCCAATGCGCCCGCACTCGCTGATCCTTTCTTTCCAGCCTTCGCGCCGTCAACTCTGGCTCTCTTGGCGGGAGAGGGGGTTGCTGTGCTCACTGCTATAGCTGGAGGAACTATCGTGCTTGCCGCCGGTGCTGGCGTCATCACCACATCTGCGATCGCTGGCTGCCTCGCCGGGCTGAGTGGCCTGGGGAGCATCGGCGAATCCCGATCGGAATCCGCAAACGACATTGCGGCGTGTTGCTCGTGTTAATTCGAGCCGATTAGACGTCCGGTCGCGTTTGTAGCTCGTGTTAACTCGAACCGAATAGACGTCCAGTCGCGTTTGTAGCTCGTGTTAACTCGAGCCGAATAGACGTCCCGTCGCGCTTGTAGCTCGTGTTAACTCGAGCCGAATAGACGTCCAGCCGCGCTTGTAGCTCGTGTTAACTCGAGCCGTGAAAGGGAGATGCAACACCACGCGTCCGCCGTCGCGTCTAAGTTCGGCCGAAATTGCCAAAAAAATGCAAAAATCGAAATTTTTGCAGCCCCCCCTTCTGTAATTGGGGTCGCGATTTTTTGTTTTGGGCCTCAAAACGACGAAGGTCCGAAGCTGAAAACGTCGCTTCTGCGCCAAAATGGCGAACGGCTGCTGCTGGCAGCCGAAAACGACCGGAAATGACCGAAAAAACAGGGGTTTATTTTCGGTCGCGTCGTCGCCAAATCGCGAGTTTTGCTGCTCGTGGCCGTGGTCGATCGGTTGTTGCTGGCAGCCGAAAGTGACCGAATCGAATATGACCGAAAAAACAGGGGTTTATTTTCGGTCGCTGCCTGGACACGAATCTTGACGTTCGTGTCCGTTTCGACCGGGTAGGCGTTTGCCCGCTGCTGCGAGCCACCTAGGAACGGCCCCGGAGTAACGCCATTTTCTTTCACCCTGGCGTTGGGCTCATAACTTCAAACAACCAACTTACTTATTTGCTGAGCTGGTCGCTAAGACCTAAGATGGATCAAAACCAAACATGAGGATAATTCTGCTTGTCGTTCAGGTCCTGCCCCAATCGGGGGTCAGGCCTCTTCCTTGTTTGGGCTTTGACGTTCTTGTTTGCTCGCCAACTTGTGGCACCTCTCGTTTCGTGTCACTCTGTGCAAAAGGAGGGACACGACAACAAACCTTTACTTTTCTCTTTCCTCAACCTCTACGTTCTTCCTGACAGTTGGAACCGCTGAAGGCGGACCAAATTATGACTAAACCGAGTCAAAATAAATGGCGTATTTATTGTGGATTTGTCTTCTCTCTGGATACGCTTAGTCGAAAGACCTGCATACGAATGGATACTGCATATCAGGAAGCTCGTACTTTCATAACAAAACTTAAAAATTTAAAAAAAAATACAAAAGTTGTTTTTTCGGGTATCGAAATTATTTCCTATGTATATTCTTAGTATACTTCTAATAATCATCCAATTGCTTTGGTGTACATTAAAGAGCTTCGATGTTTAAAAGATTTGCAAATTTGGAAAATTTCTGAAGTCCTCGCTTCGCGGAACTTTTGAGCGAGACCATTAACATATAGCGGCGCTTCTGGGCCGTTCTTCATATTTCACCACTTTTCTGCGCAGTACGGCGCGCGCGTCTCTATATCTTGCAGCCAGCTCGGCTCTCTCATTTTCCCACTTTCTTATCCGCTCCGCCTTCGTCTTTCCGCGCTCTGTTCAGATGCGTCCGCTGTTGTCCTATCGGTTTCGCTGCTCGCTCGGCGCGACCCCATCCGTTGCGACCCCTGCAGCTATCCACACAAACCGAACAAGACGACAGGCAGCACGATCAGACAGGGGGCCGCGCTCTTTTTAAAGAGTCTGGGGCACCACTAACGGGAAACGTTAAACCCATGCGCCTGGAGCTCTCAGAAGTCCGCCCAGTATAGGTAGCAAACGCACACACACGAAGAAAGCCAAGGAGATCGCTGCAGTCGCAAACGTCTCCCGGGAAGGCCGCAGAAGCTTGGCCAGGCGCCCTCTATGGCGCATCGTCCTGCTGGGGCCACCAGGGGCGATGGGGTGTGAGCTAGTTCTTCAGTTACGCGGCCGCCTGTCTGGAGCATTCCCCCGCCCCCGTTGTAGCCCGTGCCCCCCCCCCCCCTTGTACAAGGTTGCGCGGCTGGGCACAGTCCGGGGGCGCACTCTTCGGCGCAGGCTCGTAATATGGGTCCAGAGTCGCGCAAACGCTTAACCCCGTACAAGGGGGGCGGGGGGCGAGATGGCCACGCGTTGCCCCCTCGTCCCTGGCGGCCTTCTTCACAGTTTGGCGCGCTAGTCTGCCTGTCGCGAGCCCAGTCCACCTGCCTCCTCTCCTCGTTTCCCTATCGGTTTCGCCTCCGCCTTTTCGGGCTCTGTTCAGATGCTTCCGCCATTCTCTTGGCGGTTTCGTCGCTCGCAACCTCTCCGGCTACTGACACAAACCGAACGAGACAACAGGCGACGCCGTCAGGCTAGTCCTTGAGCTACGCGACAGCCTGCCTGGCGCGTCGTCCCGCTGGCGGCCGAAGGCCGCTGGAGACGCTGGGGCATACTCAGCCTGTGCATTTGCGCGACACCCCACGCCCCCCGCCCTTTCATTTGCGCGACACCCCGCGCCCCCCTTGTACCCCGCGCCCCCCGCCCCCCCTTGTACTAGGTTACATTGTTGGGCACAGTTTCGGGGCGCGCTCTTCGCTGGGCTTTCGTTATATAGGTGCACCGTCGCGCACACCTTTAACCTTGTACAAGGGGGGGCGGGGGCAAAATGGTCACGCTATGTCCCGCCGTCCCTGGCGGCCTAGGCCGCCAGAGGGACGACGCGCCACGCGACGCTCCGCACGCTGTTTGGCGTATGGTATAGGGGGACACCCGACAGTGGCAACTCGATGCCCCGTCGTCCCTGGCGGCCGACGACGCGCCAAGTGACGCTTCGCACGCTGTTGGGCGCATGGTATGGGCGGACACCCGAAAAAGGCAACTCGGTGCCCCCTCGTCCCTGGCGGCCTACGGCCGCCAGAGGGACGAGGCGCCGCGCCAGGCTTCGGGCGCTGTCGTGCGCGTGGTATGGGCGAACACCCAAAAGAGGGAACTCCATGCCCCGGCCCGTCGTCCCTGGCTGCCTACGGCCCACGCAACATGTACTAGAGAATAAGAAAAAAGGAAAGCGCCGCCGGGTGTGCCAATCTTTTGGGAGAATACGAGGAAGCGAAACCGATAAGGAGAGCCGGGAGGCCCTTGTGGCGATTTTTGTTGGAGACGTTTCGCCGGTCTTTTTCTTTTGGTTCTTTGTCTTGTTAATATTTGAAAACATTCGAATACTTTGCGAATCTTTGGAAATATTTGGAGGATGTTTAGGAATATTTTCCGAATATTCTAAAGTAATCAACTAAGTGCGCGAATGATGTTCGCGTGAATATTTTGGAAGAAGGTGAAAGACTGTCGATGGAGTTCATACCATTCGGGAATCGAACTCCCGGAGAGGCTCGGGGCATGCTCATGGAGTTCCCCGATAAGTTCTTCTCGTGGGGCTATCTGAGCGAGCTGATGTCAGGACGGTTGGCATTAAAAAAAGAAACACTTGGAAGAAGTTCCAAAGTTTTCGTTTTAAATACGCCAAGAAGAAACCCGTGCCCCCTCATTAGAAAAGCGCCCCCGTCTTGATGCTGCGTTTTACTTGCAAGTTTCTATGTTGTCCCAAAAACAGTATTTGCGAACGAGGAGGAAGTCCGTCAGCTGTTTTTCGTTGCGAGTCGATGGGAGGAACGGATGGCCACACGTCTTCGCGATGGATAAGTACATGGCATCGTCTGCAACAGTAGGAACTAAAGAATGCACAAGAACCCAATGAGAGGCGCCCGATGTATGAGCGGATCCAAGGAGCCCTTTGTTGCCAACAAGTCTAGTCGTTGGAAGTGATGCCACATCGCGAAGCGAGTATCAATAAGTTTAGTTTTTCATTTTCTCCCTTCTTCTTCTCACCACTATACGCTTTCCGTCTCTCTCCACGACCTTGTTTGTAAGCGCGTCGCGACTTGCTTGTTTGTAAGTATCAACTGTCGGCGAACTATTCATTCTGGTGATCATGTTGTATTTGTGAATTGATTGCGGCATTTGCATGGATGACGCTCGTAGTTCGCTCTTCTCTCTGACGACTTTAAATGGCGAAAATAACAAAAATGCTGGTTCTGCGTTCTTTCCTGACGTTGCTGGTGGCGCTCTCCGCGCCAGTTGCCTTCGCAGAAGCAGTCGTCCCGTCACCACCCGATGTCAAAAGCAACCACCCGATGGCTAGCATCGAAGAAACCGCCAAGAAGGAGACGTGCGCACGCAGAATCGACCTTGTGGTGATTGGAAGTTCTTCGGCCTTCGCTAAAAAGGCGCACTTCCCCTCTCTAGGGGACCTGCCTTCATGCTTTCGCATCGTTGGTAACTGGACTCGTAGATCCTTCTGCACTACCCAAGGAGTAGGAGTGGACGAGGATGAAGGCAAAAAGTGTTTGACGAATGATAGGAGGTATGACAAAGCAGCAGCACCAGTGCAGTCGGCAGATTCGCATGCTTCCTCGCAGCACGAGAGGACGGACGTAGCCCCCGCAGTTGAGAATATAGAACAAGAAGATGAACTTGACTGGACAAACCATTTTGCTAGGAATTCAACACGACGCTCTGATGAGACCGCTGGCAATGAGAAGATGGCATTATGGTCAGCAGAAACTGGAGTTCATACCACAGCAGATGTTGAAGACTCAGAGCAATCCTGGTATATTCGCAGCTATCTCAACGGCGTCCTGCACATAGCGGAAGCGGTTGTAGTAGTGCTTCCGATTCCAATTATGCCCCAATTCGTGGAGGACGCGCTTTCCAGAGGCGTCCACGTCATCAGCGAAAAGCCTATCTTCCCCACAGCAGCCGTTTCAGCGCAGTATCCGATCATGGCAAGCTATCTGGAAGAGCCTGATCGTTTCTCGACAAGAAAGAGTGTGGTCACGGGCACGAAATGCGACTCATCTTCTACCGACGAGTCCCAACAAAATCATGTTGGTGGGCCACATTATTCTTGCCATAATGTTGGCATACGTCGGGAAGATTCGATTACACGCAACACTCTAGAAGCAAGACTGCAATTACAGAGGAAGCTCCGTCCTGTTTGGTCAGTATCGGAAAATTGGCGTTTTGAGTTTGCTTACGCCTGGCTGGCAAAACTGCTCAAAATCGGTCAGCAAAAACATGGCTTTTTTGGATCTGGCAAGAAAAACCGGATTGGCCATATTGATGCAAAGACCTTCTCCTACTTGCCACCAACGCACCCTTTGATCGCCAACGACTCCTGGCGCCAGTCCGGTAGCCTAATCATAGATGTGGGTGTTCACTACTGCGCCGCACTACGGCTTGTGGCCTCAGCACTACACCGCTCTAGGGGAGAGGACGACGCTATAGGGAGTTTGGTGGATGGCGACCTTATAGAGACAGAGGGGCTGAGTGATCTGAAACAGCTTCCGGAAAGCTCCGTGAGCGCGCAGCTAAACCAAGAACCATTGGAATTGAAGCACGCTCATACGTGGAACGAGGTTCATGAAGTGGCTGCTGGTCCAGATGGCTCTGAGCGGAGAAGGATGGAAACTCTCGCATTTGTAGCGACGTTCAACATTGTGGATGCCGCTGCTTTGCCAGAAGAACCGCCGTCTTTTGGGAAGGGAACGCCAAGTCTCCCGCTAGTGTGGGCGAACTCGTTTAAGTTACACGACCAGTTGCGGTTGGGCGTTCAACAACCAGGTTTATCGAATCTCGTTCTGCGACTGCACTACGGCTCTAGCGGACACGTGCTAGAAGTGGACAGGCATGATGTACGATGGACCGATCCCGAATTGGATAGCCTTATACTCCACGACAAAGAAATCGGTCTTCTGAAACAAGAAAAAAAAGATACCGATAAGATTAATATAACTGTTGGGAAAGAGCCGGACCGACAAAAGAATGCTGCAAGTGTTGGTAAAGTAAAGGAATATTATTTTAGAGATGCCGGTGGTAAAGTAAGGGAAGATAAAGATACTGATCCTCGTATGCGAGCATTTCCTCGGCGATTCTCTGTTATGGCATCTCTTCGCGACTTCGCGCTGGCAGTCTTATCTGCAAATAACTCTAGGGCAGATGATCATGCTGTCTTCAAAAGCTCAGACACCGATTTCTATAGTATGATAAATACTCCAAACCAGGCCTGGCGCGACTTACAAATGGTTGAGAGCATCATGTATTATGGTAGCAAGAAGTAGAAATACGAACACGATGGAGTAGAACATGGTGGAGAACAACGTGACTCAGATAGTATTTGTCACATATTAGTACAGCGAGAAATATTCTAATTTGAGGTAATTTTTGCCTACATTGCCTTGAAAATACGGAAGAATCCCGTACTAGAGTTTACAAGGATGTTCCGCAAAGACTGACAGGTGTTTTATCCTGAAAATGTCGGTCAAAGAGTTCATGATGTTGAGAGGAAGCTGATCAAATGTAGAGTCGGTATAGAACTACAAGTATGTTGTAATCGGTAAGGAGAGTGCTGATCTCACGACGTGATGAGCGAGAGGAAATGCAGGATAGTAGGATCATAGTACAATTTTTAGTAAAAGGTTCTTTGGTGCTAGTACAGTGTTTAGTTAGTAGTGAATTGAGTAGTTTTATTTAGGGAACATACTCACCTTATTATGTGATCTTTAGATCTTTAGTTTCTGCGACTTCTATGTTGAGAGGGTAGACCAAGACCTAGCGGTTTTGTCGTTTTGTTAGAAGGTACTTGTCAGTAATTTTTGAGCCGCAATCGGCTTTGTTCATAAAGCGAATTTTCCTATTCAAATGCCATACGATCCCACAACGACCTCGACGTAACCAATCTACTACTAAAATGAGATTAACATCATGCTGGTGATAGGTCGACCGTCTTGCTTCTCGTTGTCATCCTGGTACGAATACTGGGGTGCTTTTGAGCGCTTACAAGCGCTCGTCACGTGCTACGGGCCTGGTAGTATCAACGGGCAGTTCCTCAAAGTACGAGAATCGTGAAGGACCACCGAAAAAGCAAGTGGACTACCGAAAAAGCTGATAGTTTTGGGCACGAGCACAGCCTCTGGGCACCATTGATCGAGCAACGGTAGACCTTTCTGGAAAGGCACAACTGAAATAGTACGCGAGCTGGCATTTACAGAACACTGATTCGAAACTTGGATCCGGTTCTTCAGGGTGGTCACAACGAGGTGGCAAGTCTCTGCTGCAACGAGCTTGGCCCTTGCAGCGAGTGCAAGACGATAGACAAGGACCCTGCGACCAAGTCTTAAAACGATAGAAGAGAAACCTGCCAAGAACAACTCTTAGAACGATAGACAAAAAACCTGTGACCAAGACGTAGGCGTCAAGATCCAGCATTTTTTTGCCTCCAGCATGGAGAAAATGAGTGACGATGGTAAAACCTCTTGTTCTGCCGGGTCCGGCGGGTCAGATGGTGCAGCGATATCAGAACCCGAGATTATGGAAAGACGTTATATCGGATAACCAGTGTCAACAACAGATTGGAAGAAGCTAAAACAAGTCAGTTATTCCAGAGAAGAGTTGTACTAGCAGATAATCAGATATGAACGCTAAAAAAAGTCACTTCTTTAAATCTCGTGATATATTCCTCTTGATATGGAATGAAGATGGGTAGTTCGTAGCTCTTCTTCCTATCGCTAATGTGAGAGCGGCGGCAGAACAGCCAAAGGGAAAAAGTTTATGGCTGACGGTTCTGTTTTTAGGCTTGTACATTGCAGTCGACGTCCTCAAAAATCGGACCAATGCGACCTGTGTCAAGGGAACGACGGTATCAAACTACTTATCTGTACTTTCGTCTAGTGTATGTTCGTGTAGGCGGGGGAAATTGGAGTAGCCTCTACTTTTGTCTACTAGAGTGTACATTTTAATAGGCGAGAGAAATCGGAGTAGGCTCTACTTTTGTCTACTAGACGAGTGTACATTTTTGTAGGCGGAAGAAATTCAAGTGTACATTTTTCTACTGGAAACACCTCTAGTACTTTTGTGAAAAAGTCGCATTTTGAGCTTCGGGACAATTAGTGTGAACATAAAAAATAATCTCCAGGTCCTCCCGCAAAGTCTTCCAGTGGCGGTCGCAATCGCTTCGCTTACACTCAGCACTGTTTTAGCCTCTATCTTTGGAGGGATGGACCATGTGAGGCAGTGCTTCGATTTGCGGTTATGGTACTTGTCTATTCAGTGTATTTACTCATAGACACTACCAAAAACATAAGAATTGCATGGTTTCCACCTCTCCCCCGAAACAAAAAATTCAGGCTGTTGAACCTGCCATCGGCTCTTTTCTTTGCCTTCTCGCAGTCAATGGCGGTATTGCAGATGGTGTTTCTCAGTTTAGGGCTAGTTTTTCACTATCCCCTGTGGACTATGCTGAGTGGAGTCTGTTCCTCTTGATTAGTTCCAAACGGGAAACAATTCAAAGGGGAAACTAAGGGGCAACTAACCCACTCAACGACCAGGGCTAGCGAAAGACTAGCGTTAATTAGTGCAGGGATGGCGAAAATAACGCAACAAGTGCGTCTCCCCTTGAACGTCTTCCTCGCCTACTTCGTGTCCGGCAGACATCACACTTTCCGGCAGATCGTGGCTGTTATCATGCTCGCCTTATCAGTAGCTTTGTTTCAGCTGAGCAACGGCGAAACATCCTCCGCCAGCAGCACTGCCGGAGATCAGCGTGTAGGCGTTGTGCTTTCTTATGATATTCCAAAAAAAATGGTGGGACAATCCTTATAATGGAACCACTTGTATTCCTACTAGTTTCCATTTCGATTTGTTTGTCTGATTACAATCATGCTCGATTAATGCTGTCGGAGACGATCACGACTCCCTATAATTGATCGTTTGTTTTTCTCAACGACAATATGCAAATCAACTACTTTATTTCTCATCAATCTCATACTCATTGTTTATTCAACTAAGAAGTGGTGCAGTCGGTATATCATCATCATCATCTCTCATTGCACGTTGCTGGGGTCCCTGGGAAGCGTTCTGGGATGCCTCATGAGCGAGAAGATTATGAAGAAGGATGTCGACATGCCCTTCTACCTCCAGAAATTTCATCAAGAGGTCGGCGGTCTCCTCGTCAGTGTGTCATTGCTGTTTCTACTCCCATGTCTCGGCGACCTGATAGATGGGATGGCCGATGGGGGTGCGCCAAAAGGTCGACGATCAGGCAACAGCAATGCTCTCAAAAACTCCCTTTTCGCCTATAAAGCGACATTTGCAGTAAGGGATGACACGGAAGGTAAAACTACTATGATTTATAGTTGTACCATACAAGTGGTTGTAGCTTCTGCTTAGCCATGCCGATGATTCGGTCTGACCACTTGAAACGCAATGATGATGATAGTACCCCTCAAATGGGCCATACTTGTGCCATTGTGTGGCGGTTGTAGCATCTACTACTTGGAATCGCTTATGTGATACTCCGATTTTTTGTGGTACTATACTGAATTTCATTTCTTGAGTCTTTTCGTCTCTGAGACTGAGTCTCATTTTTTTTGCAATCTTGATGCCCAAAATATCATCTCGATCTTGATTACTAGATGCGTTATTTCCCTCATTATATTGTTTCACTCATTACATTGTTTTACTCAATCACAGCCGCAGTCAACGCGCTGTTTGACTTCTCTTCGGCACACGAGGAGATTAGTTTTGCCTCCTTGGCCGAATTTGGATCCGACCACCGGGACACGGTTGTCAGCCAACTAAAGGAATCTGCACGAGACGAGGAGCTTCTCGAATTTTCAGCAAGGAAAGGCCTCCCGGTCTACAAAATTCTACAAAAGCTATCCACAACAGCTGACCGGGTACGTCGGGGTGCGGCGCATGCGCCGTTTGCGAAGATTGTGCACTGTGCCGAGGGAGAAGAATTGAAGGACTCGGTAGCCGTATCCGGTACTGCGTTGCCGCTCGCGTGGCGCGGAGTGTACGAAGTAGTTGGTCATGAAAAAAACATTTTCTTAAGTGTGTGGGAACTTCATCTTCAAAGTCATCTGGAAGGAGAAAACAAGAAGAAAAAGATATTCAGACGATTATTCCTGAGATGGCTTTCCTACACTTCTAATTTTCGCAAACCCTGAAGAACCTACCAGTGCGCCTTCTCAAGGCAAGACCGCAGCATTTGGCTCCTCCGGTTCACCAGCAGCAATAGCAACATCCGCAGCTACATCCGCGTCGAAGTCATCTACTGGTGAGGCAGGTGTACTCGTCGCTAGCACGACTTCTAGACAATCAACACCTTCGATGCAGGAACAAGGCGAAGTGCTGTCCTCGAGATCCTCCGTAGTGGAGGTAACGGAGAAAGCGCTAAGCCTAGAGAGTCTGCTGCAAGCAAAAGGGTTCATCCGCGACACTGGAACGGCAGCGGTTGAGCAAATTCGGAAATTTCTGAGTCAGGAAGGAACTACAGCGACTTCCTATGGAGATACGCTCTTTTGTAGAAGTCTTTCGAACTTCAGGCAAGCTTGCTTTTTCTTGGAGCAGAGACCTACCACGGAACTTGAAAATACTGAACCTGCTACTAGTGGTGCTTTTAGTAGTCTTTGGCCGACGTCGTCCTCTCGTGGAGGTCCAACTAATTCTCCCTTTTGGGTGTTGCGTATCCTAGGTCCCTCGCCGTCTGCAGATGGGACGGCTACACTAAACGCCGAGAGCTTCGCAGTGAGTGGCCCTATCCTAGTAGCAAAATCTAGTGGCGGGAACCTTGGCCGCATCCGCATCGAAGCTGGCCGTTTTGCACTCAGCAAAAGCCTCTCTGCTTTTCTTGAAACTTCTAGACAAACTGGAACAACTCTGGTTTTACAGAGTTCCAAGAGTGGTAAATTTCCAACATCAGCATTAGCTCTATCAAAAATAGAGAAGATGACTACTAGTTCATCATCTGGAGGGGCAGCAACTGGAGGTGCAGCAACTGGACCAACCCGAGCAGCCGCGTCAACAGGATCTTACGGCGTATCCTCGTTGCTAGGCAATTTAGTTAGCGGAACCACCAAAACTCCAACGCCAACGCCATCTTCAACCTCCAGAGTGACACGCGAGTGGTCGCTCTTGACTAGTAGCGAGATCCAGACGTTGGCGGCAGCGCTGCAAATGTCAAACGGTGAGGGCGTTGTCGATGAAGCTGGCGGCGATGGGCTACCACCGAATAAAAGTGTAGTATTGTCCGCTGGACCAGGGTCTTCAAGCTCCACAAGTTCTACTACCTCACAACAAGCAGCATCCAATTCAGCATCCACACAGCCACAACAGGATTCTGATCCTTTCGCAGCCATCGTGGTGATGCAAGGTCGCGTGGCGCCTGGGTTGCCACTTGGCCGCAACCGTTTCGTCTGCGACGCAAGGAGGTGTCCGGAGCAAGATTTTCGCGGATATAGGTACATGTTTGACGAGGATACGGCTGCAAGGTTTAGCCAAGGCGTCCTCACAGGATATGAAAGGGGTTTCTTTGCGGGATGGGACGTGCCTGTCCTGTGGACACTCCTGTGGATGCTTACGAGCTTCTGGCAAGCTGGGCTGTTGGTACTCTTTCGGATATATAAGTAATGATATCCTATGTTTTGGGCTTCCAAACACAGTTACTTCGTTATTTGCATTGAAACTGTGGCCCCCTCGTGAATAAAATCAGCGTGCAAGAAAAGCTACGACTTGGGCTTCACCAAAATAAGTACAAAATTCCGCATTAAATGAGTTTGTCCCCTGAAAAAGAATCTACCAGGTGAAAAATCTTTCCTCGTTATGGAAGAATATTGGTCAATGCGTGTGCACAGTCGTTTTATGCTTGTGGGAGGTCACTGCAGTGCGACCGCCTGAGACAGAATATACAGTACTGCAATTGATAAGTCTGACGATAGGAGCCTTCGTGGTGGTATCCTGGGTCATTGTTTTCGGCTGGTTTCAAGCCGATCAGCAAAGTATTGAGGCAGCAAAAACGGAGCAAGCAATTTATGAAAGGATGATCAATGCTCTCCTGTCTGGTACTCTAAAGAGTAACAGCTGTGTTCTCTATCTACTCTTTGAGATCTAGAAAACGTGAGTGAAAGGAAAACGTGAGTGAAATGACTAGTAGAGCTAGGACTTCTAGAGACGCAATGATGAGGACGTCCAAAATGACCTTAGATTACGACTACTTTCGTGGCATAAAGTTATAAAAAGTTCAACATCTTCCTGCAGTAGTTTTACCTAATGAGCATGCAATAACATAAAAATTGAAGTTCTTGAATTTCCAGCACAAAGAAACTGTATTATTTGGTGTCTCTCTCATTCTCCGCGTGATGCTGCTGAAAGGGAAGGGAAATTCGAGGAGAGTAGTTCTTCCCTTGGGAGCTTCCAGAATAATCAGATGGTTAAGGTCGACATTTAGTGTCCATCTTTCTCAACCATGTCTCTCCAGAACATCTCGATACCCTTATTTTGTTTCCCTTCTATTCTTTTCATGAAAAAGAAGGGGTCGAGATGAGGGGAGTCCTGATATGAAAAAAAGCTGACCCGTCTAAGATGCTGTCCGAAGATTTCGCCACCACATCCCCAGAAAGTGGCGGCAGCGGGCGAAAGCAGCCGTTACTTACCGAAGTGGAGATGCAAGGAAAAGTTTGAGGAAGGAGTCGTTGAGGAAGTTTAAGTTTTAAAGTCATCTCATCTTATCATCATGTTACATAATGATACAAGATAAGCCTATTTTGCTTGTCACCTGAGAATAGAAAAAAGTCTAAGGCATTCGCGTTCTTGATGCTTCTCCGTGATCCAAAATTCTAAGTCATTCATCTTTTTTGGAAGCTTAGTATCCTATCACTACTATAGTTCTTTCAGTCTCTCTTATGGCACTTTCCTGGGTCGTGCCTCCCAAACTTACTGAATGAATCGATTGATGAGAATATCCTATTTTTTCCTAGTACAATGACACACATAGTACAATGACACACAAGTCAGTTTCTAGAACTATCCCGTCTCGCCAGTGGTAGAGAATGGCCACCAAAGATGCCATGACGATGACACCGATTGGCGACAACAGTGGATGCGTCAAAAGCGAAGCTATTGAGCAACATTATTTAAAGAGCGCAATTCATGGTTGAGGGGTACTCCACTGTTTTGAATGCTTACAACATTAAAGGTGAGTCACATGAAATTATAGAGCTGGTACGAAATGAAAGAAGATGGAGAGCACGCCCATTCAAGTAGGCTGGCTCTCGTCTTAGAGAACAAAAGGCTATCATTTACAGTGATCTAGCATTCTGTCTCTTACCATTATAGCAATTTTACCTCCTTTCTGACGAGGCTCACCTCGTCTTCTTGTCTTTTCCGCCAGTAGACCAACGGAATGAAATTTTGATGGTCTACTGGATTCGATAGGGTCAAGAGTTGGAGACCTACTGCTTGGGGATAGATTTCAAGTGACTTTGTCTTCACACATGATGAGTGCCTAGTATTTACGTCGACCAAGGATGGTTATCAAAAGTTCTACGGGAACTACACAGAAAGAAGTATGGCATCAAACCCACACGTGCTCGATTTTCTTGTTATCACCTAAAACTAATGCGTTCCTCGTACTACACCATGCCGAGGACCAGTACTCTGAAGATTCGAATAGGAGTGTTGAAAGGAAACGCCGTGATCAAGCAAGACTCGTGTTGAGGGATTTCTCTGTCCTATGATGCTGGATGGCTGGAGGCATCTCGATCGGTGCAATCCTACTTGCTTCCTCCATAGTGGCACTCTCGCATGAACTTCATTTGTTCCTTCCGTGTGAACTGCAAACATCTTCTTGCTGATGTTGATGTGAGCAACTCACTACACATAGGAAGGTAGGCATACGGAAGATCCATTCACAGGCTGGAATCTCCAAGTCTCCAACGATCTCAATCATGCGACGAGGAGTCTTACTCTCATACATCGATAGACGTCGATGATCCTCAACCTTCTCTTCAAGGCTTGATGGTGTGAAGCTATTCGGCGGATTGCCTAAGCGATAACTGAAGAGATATCTCTTGAGATTTCTGATTTCTGACCATTACTCATCTTAGCTTAGGAAAAGCGCATTCGCTTTGATTTGAAGACACTGTCTTGTGAGACCCTAGAAGATATTTGTTTTGAAGAAGTACTTAGTTGGTACGAGTTGTATGTGCATTCTTTCGGAGCATGTCGTTCCTCGCACGTGTCATAGTGCCCATGGTACATTGTAACTGAAATATGGCGATCAGCCTCTCATTTTTGTCCTTTTGTGTTACGTCGAGTAATATTCTTGCAAGTCATCTCAACTACAACGGGTGTAGTTTTTGAAATTATTTCTACGTTCTGATCACGTTTTCTATGTGCACATAAATTTGTATCATCCATGCATGTGAGGATCTTTTTTCTTTTTAACGGTGTCTCTTTGCTGAGAAACATTGTTTTCTTTGCTCTGTATTCGTTCTGCAGCAGCCCACAAGAAGCGTACGGTAGTGGCACGAAAACTTGCGCTGTGCGCAAAGAGGTTCCGCGCTTACGAGCTTCGAAGAGCTGACCGAGTGTACGAGATACGTCCTAACCTACCTCGCCGCAAGCTCCTCTCGCGAGAAACTCACTTGGACAAACTGACCAAGAAGTGTAAGTACGAGAAACGTCGGAAGAAGCTGCCTTGCCAGAAGCTGCTTCTTTTCCACAACTCATCAAGAACAAGCTGTAGAATGGATCGCTCACACCGAGACTCCCAGAGCGGTTTAGAGACGGCAATGGTGGATCAAGCGCAAGCTTCCACGACAAGAATAGCTCCAGAAAATCGTCCGCTTCTAGCCCAGGAAGACATGATCTTAAGGGTTGAAGCATTTCGTTTCTGCATGCTTTTTTCGCTTCGCGTTGGTAGTTGAAAAATCAAAGCACTAAATAAAACAACCGGTTCGTTTTTACCTCTAGCGTGTAGCCCTTCCAACAACCTTTAATGATGTATCCCAGCCTGGATGTTGGAGGCGCAGACGCAGGACGAACGTCTCCCGAACTGCCACGATCTCGGAATGTATCTAGGACTCGGACTATGAGTGGAGGCAGCCTGTGTGGGAAGATAGCGGCTCCGTACCGAAGTGATAGTAAGATGGTCTTTGAGGAACAACTACACGACGAGGCGGAGGAAGATGATGCAAGAAGTGGGTCGAGACAAAGAAGTCGGTACGACTGTGGCGAGGAAAGTAAGACGTCGGAAGAAGGACATCAGGTGTCACAAACCACTTCGACAACGGCTTATGGAAGAAATGATTTCTTACTTTCTGGTGAGTCCTAGTAGAAATTTGAACCATGGTGAATTTACGATCACTTTATCAATATCATCATCACCTTGATTATAGGTTTCTTGCGCTTTTTTAGGTGCAGCTCCCAAAATGTCATCGCGTTTCTAATGACAGCCAACTGCAGCCCCAACACTAGCTTTTTCGCTTGGCTTGGTAGTCCTGTATGCCTTATCAGATACCGGCAAACTGATAACGCAAAGCTGGTATTAAGGCTTCCCCTAATCCATCTTCGGAAGCATCCTCAGCTGTGTTTTCAAACGGAAAAAGCGCCCAGGTTGAGATGGATTAGGGTGAGCGCTAATGGTACGTCTCCAGTGACCCGCGTCTCAACGTGCACTCCCTAAACATGACAGCGAAGCTGTTCGATGTTATTCTTTCGCTCCTCCTGGCGCCGCTTCTATACGGATGCGATTTCGCCTTCCGGGAGTTGTTTAATTGGCAGGAAATAGTTGCAAACGCGCTTCCGAGTCTTGGACTGGCGCTCACCCAAGCCTTGCACATGATCCAGCTTTTCTTCGTTACTTATGACTGCAGAATCTCGTAAAGTTCTCTCGTATAAGCTAAAACGAGAGCCGACGTTTGTCATTTTGCCTTCTTGCAGCACGGCGTGATGGGTTTTGTTCTGTCATGTCTTGGCCTAGAGATGGGCGTAGACGGGGGCGCTTGTCTTTGTCTCTGCGCCATCAAGTCCCTCAGCATTTTTTGGATCATCAACCCAAGCCTTGCACAGGATCCAGCTCTTCTCAGAATGAAATAGCCTTGCACATGAATGCAGAATCTCAATGAATAGCATAAAATTCTCCACGTCGGCTATCAGGAAGGTTTCACATATCTCGTTGCATGCACGGCATGTGATGCTGCAGAAGAAGTTACTTGTGCATTTAGGAGCCTCTTGCCAGGCACATCAATCAATCAATCAATCAATCAATCAATATCGCTTCGACGAAGCATAGATCATTCGGCAACCAAGAACTTGCCTTTCCTTCTTCTCCTTCTTCATACTTTTGCGGGTGAGACGATCATTGGCCAGTTGCGGATTCCGTTGACTGCCTTGGCAAGTCGATACGTACTGAAGAAAGCCTACTCCTGGGCTCAGTGGATGCCTTTAATTGTCATAACGTGTGCGGTGCTACTTTTTCAGTTGACGAAACTGAATGTGAAACGAGATGAGGATCAGAAGAATTTACTCTACGGCTCGTGCATCGGGTTCGCATCCTGCCTCTTCGCAGTCCTCAGTTTCCTTTATCGCGAAGGGTTGATGAAAGCGCGCAACAAAACCCCCTTCGTCATACAAAACTTTCTTATGGAAACTGAACTTTGGTCTATCACGCCACTTATCTTGTACTTTTTAGCAGCGACGAGGATCAGGGTCAACAGAATCGAATAGTTCATATTTATCCCAAGTTGATTGTCACACGTATTCAGATGAGCACGCGGTCATTTTGCCCACGTCACTCTAAGTTGCAATTCAACATTACGATGGTGATATGGCATCTGACGCTGGGGTTACTTGTATTTCCACAAGTTGGCAAGTTGCTTTGTCTGTTCGGCAAACCTAAAGAAGGTAAGACGAACGACGTTTTCACCTACGGGGCTCTGTTTCAGTGCCGGAGCAGCTGGGAGACCAGATTCGAGGATCTCAAAGAGCATGTACTCATATTCTTGAAGATCTAGGACCTCAGATCCTGTGACAAGTCATCCCCAAACAAGTGACCTACCTTGGCTGATGTTGAAAAGTCAGAAAAGGCCTCCTAGATAACCCCTGATGCTGAAGATCCTGGAGAATCGTCAAGCTTATTTGTTTCCCACACTCATCCACCGCAGTTTGATTTGCTGAACAACGGTGAGGAGGGAGGATTCGAGAATCTGACGGAAGTTTATCTCAAGACGCGGCTATCGCAAGCGGCCAGTAGCGTGAACGAGATTCAAAGTCGAGTCCACGATCTAGAGCATGCGTCAAATCTCTCTCTGCGAGCTGGTAATTTTATGTCAAATTTTCATAAAAAAACGACAAACTCCTGCTGTATTTAAAATCCTCTTCACTAGTTAGAATTGATAGTTTCAAAATTTTTACTTCTCACTCTTAAAAATTGACTCATGACATTTTTCACTAGTCTACAAGCTGATGCATTACTAATCTTCTGTCTCTTAATATATCAGTTTCAAGCGCGGCGCAGGAGGATCAACAACGTGTGATAGAAAACGCTGCTAAGATGGCAAGGGTTTCCAAGGACTTTGACCAAGTTGTGAAGCTCTCAAATTCCGTTGCACAACTCATGCGCGAGAACCCCTACCGAGAGGGCCTCGTGTGGGCTACGTATGAGGAATTACAGGACAACTTTTCGCTGAGCTATCCTATCCCGGAGGACCAGCACGGGACCTCTACTGCTTCTTCCTCGATTGCTGTGAATACAAGTCGTGGCGATGATGCTTCTTTTTTAGCTGTAACTAGCAGCGGTGCAGAGGAGCAGCTGGCGCGGAGGCGAGAGCTTCGTGAGGACATTCGTGGGCGTTACGCACGGGTGAAGGATGTTACAGTGGATGGACAACCCGTTTTCTGCCGTTTCAACACGTTTAGAAAAAACAAGCTTCTGAGAAAGCGGACCAGACCTGTACCATCTGGAATTTCTGGCGGTGAATCTGAATTTCCACCGCCTGGACTGGTTCGTGGTAGAAATCCTGAGCAGGTTATGAATTTCAGAGCCTTATCGCGAGAAGCGTCCGCGGTGAATTTGCTGGGAGAGGAGGCGAACCTCTCGGGGGTGCCCGTAGAGGAAACAGGACAGGTGGTAGACGTAAGGACGAGTGCGACTGCACTTAGAACTGGTGCCTGTGAATGCGATGGATGTGAACTGCACTGTAGGTTTGGTGCTTCGGCGATGGGCTCCAATCCTAGTGCTGCAAACGCCGGAGGTGGTGCAGCTAACGTTATTAAGGGTTAACCAATTACATCCCCCACAGCCCTTCCTCACTCTTTTTCCAGTACGAAAGAGGTGAGGGATGTTCTGAAGAATGTAATGCTGCAACCTTTAACGTTAGTACTTCTGCTGAAAACACGAACACCCGTGATCACGTGAGAGAGGTAAGTGCTATCGTTCCTGGTGGTACGTCAACTGATGCGTGTCCGCCCCTTCCGGAGTCAACAGTAGTAGAAGTAACACAGACGTCGTCCTCGTCTCCCTTGCAAGAGACTGGCGGCTATAGTGGGGGCTCCTCACCAGCACAGCGGGTCAGCGAGGCAAGGAATCTGCCAGAATTGCGGCACTCTCGCAACTCTAGCTTCGCGACGATACATTCGCAAATGGAAGCCTCATCACCCCAGAGTCCAACAGCAGGACAAGACCCAGCTCAATCGCCAATATTTCGAACTCGGAGTCTGCCATTGCGTCGACAAGGCTCTTTTGTACAGCAGTACGGTGAGCAAGGATCCTCATCGTCTGTGCGACTGGTCGCTGGCTATAAGGCAGGACCATTGCATGGTCGGCCAAGAAGCAGTCAGCATCCTGCGATGACTGCTGGGGATCACTCATCAGCATTGAGAGCATCCGGTCTCGATCCCGCTTCGACGCCAGCCTCTCCGAAGAGCTCTGCAGCAGTACCCCGCAGAGGCTTTCCGCCGGCTCCTCCCAGTGGCAACGCGTCACCGGTTGCAAGGGGAACAGCAACTGCCGAAACCGCACCACTTGTAGCACTGCGTCAAGCTAGTCATGAATCGTCGTCGGGAGTGCGTCAGGATAGTCGTCAGAACAGCGATGTTTTTGCACCTACAGCAGCAGGACGTGGCCAACATCAAAGCGAGGAAGGAGTTGTACCAGAGGATGATCGTCTTCCTCATCTACTTCATAGTCTAGGTTTACCAGATCGTCAAGAAACGCTGATAGAAGAGTGGGCACCGGAAGAGCCAGAAATCTCAGCATGCTGGGTCTACTCCAACGACCGAGAGACGTGGCAACTGCGGGACTATGCGCCTGAAACATTACGTGACCGTATTGTAGAGTGGGAAATCGTAGCCGAAAAGCCGCAGGAGGAGCAGGAGGAGGAGACATTATGGACAGTATTTATCCAATCTTGCAAGAAGTGGCTGAATGGCCTCAATAAATGCCGTTATTTAGGACGGGCACCGAGGTATCATGACATGCCATCTTCCACCGTATTTTTCCCATGAAACACGAGGGAAGAGGTACCGACATAACAAGGTGGCGGAGACGGATTGAAGCACACTCTAAACTCAGCGGGGGAAGAAGGTGCAGTGCCGTCTACTCCAATAGAAGGTAGTTCCGGAGGTGCTGTGGGACACGACGAGGTAAATGTTGTAAGAGGTACTAGTGCAGCTAGAGCAGCAGCAGGAGGAGATGACTCCCCACGTAGCTCAAGCGAGGCTGGCAGCACTAGTAAATTGGCAGCGAGCACTAGTAAATTGGCAGCATCGTCACAAGTTGAAACGTACAGTTTGCTGCGAGTAGCTGTAGTTGCGGATGAGCAAGGGAACAACGTCGACAACATCATAGGCACATCAGATTCGACAGGAGCTTCTGCGGACAACAATGCTAGGGCGATTCCGAGAATAAACAACGAGTTTCTAGGGACTTCGAGCGCAGCGGTGTCGATGACAGAAGTCGATGACAGTGCGGCTGTGTCAAGTTTGGCACTCGTATTTGGTGACCAGTCGCAGCACCGTAGTGTCTTGCTCGAATTAAGAGCGTCAGATGCTGGAGCAAGCACATCGCAGCCCCCGAAGTTGGTGATAGCCGAGCAAGACGCACGACTAAGCAACATAAAGTTATGACGAACTCATAAGTACTATAGTTCTCTCAAGAAACGCTAAAAGTTTCACTCCATCCATCTGCAGGTACAACTCCTACAATTCCGCGTAAATTAGTCCAAGTAGAAGTTCTGCTCGAGGCACAACTAGAAGAATCGCAAGCTACTTTCCAGCAGCAATACATTTTGCTCTTGACCTTTTCGCATGTCTAAGACAAGGGCGCTTCATCACGCCAGAAGAGAGCAGAATACCTGTAGAGGACGCGCAGAAGATATTCATTATGCGCGGACTCTACTCTCCGGGAAACGAGGGCCCTCCAGACTGTTCTCTCATCTGTGACGAGCACTTCTGCCGACCCGAATGGACCGCAAACTGGAAATACAACCTCATGGGGAAGGCGTAAGAATAAACTTGTCTAGCTTTGTATAAAAGGAAAAAACCTACTCACCCTCAAAAAACTATGTTTTTCAAATACCATTTTTGATTTTACTTTTGGCTCCTTTAAAGTAGGTAGTTTAACTTTGAATAGCTAGTTAAGGGACTCGCTGGAGGTTTTTTCCTTCTATACTTTGATACAGAGGTGGATATAGATGTTCATGCTGGAAATACACCCTTAGTGCTGGCAAGGCGAAATAGAACTTGTTTCTAGTGAGCTTATAGAGTTCGATTTATCGCACGACAACTCATTGATGCTACAAAAATTAAGAGTTATCCTCGACCTCACAACAAGTTGATCTTTGCACAACAACAGATTCTACAAAGAGCCAATTGCTTTGAATGGGGTGATAGCGCCTTACGAAGGCGGCCTCTTCAAAGGCTGGTCATGGCGCATTCTCATACCGTTGGGTGCGCAGTGTATGCAAATGTGGATGGCAGGAATCATAACGAAACAGCTTAGCTCAGTCTATCTTAAGGCTACCGAAAACCCATCTTGTTTTGGCCATCTCTTTTGCAATCTCTACCGAAAACCGTGAGCATCTTGTTTTGGCCATCTCTTTTGCAATTGGCCAGTTTATCTTGGCTCTTTCGGAATGGCTTGTTTTGGGTAGTTTCTTGCAGAAAGTGGGTCTTTCTCTCAAGGGAAGAAAGTGTTTTTTTCTGTGAAGACGGCTCTTCTAAGCGCATCGCCGGGCAATGTTTTTTAAGTAGCTGCGGACACTTGATGGACGTCCTCTCAACAATTTTACTCCTTAGAAATAACGACCTTGAAAAGTCCCAGGTACGCCTTATTATTAAAGTAGGTGGGCTTTTTACGTATAGTCTTCTAATTACCGTACTCTCGGACAAGCGGTTGGCTGCCTCTGCAACGTTTACCTTGGTGATTACTGGCTGCTCCAAAATCCGGACCCGGCGATGAGGGTACAGTTTTATTCCTCATCGAGAAAACACCGTACGACCTGCTTGTTCCCACCTTGCTGCATGGTAAGGGACTACGACGGACTATACTATTTTACTCACATTGATCAGAATTAGTTGCGTTTGGCACTCGTGCGAACAAAGATTTACTTTTATGATATTCAAACACCACCAATAGGCCAAGTGGCAGGAAGTTGTAACGGTGACTTTTGTTGCGATCATTTTGTGCGTGTCGCTGTTCAATTTCATGACCGCACCTGGGCCTGCAGAGAAACAGCCACAGACCTCGACTACAGGAGTGGAGCTAGAGACCCGAGACGGTAGTACCGGTGGGGGCAAAAAAGATGCTCGTGTTAAGGCGTCTACTCTAAGAAGTAATCCCTCTTGTTGAGAAGCACTATAATATCCTCTCGTCGAATAATGTCTATGATTACAAGGACAATGCTTTAGAAATTTGCGAGGCTCTCACTCTTACAAAGACGGATTCTCATCTATATTCTGTCAACATCTCGAGAGTGATCCGCTCTGTTACTAGCCCACTGCCGCTTTTATAGTGTGGTAGTGGGATTCCTATGAGCTAGATCAATGTCCGGCCATTGTGTAGCTGATACTGCCTGTCTTACATGGTGTAGCGGCACAGGGCGGCTGTCGACAATTAACCATCACTCATAGTGGTGCACTCACAGACGATCCTCCAGTTTCACAATCTCAGCTTCGCAGACATCTTGCAAAGTCACAATTCATCAATCTTAGAATTTCGCAACTCAGACACCTTTCAATTTCACACCTCATCTCTTATGATCTGACCTCTAATGACAAGCGATCCACGTCTCGACGAGAGAGTTCGCCAAGCGACGGGAAGGAGGATAGCCCAGATAAGCAGTTTGACTTTGAGTTGCTAGTGGAATCCTCCGCAGAATCCGAGACGGACCAATTAGAGTTACGTGCACCTCCGAAGTAAACTCCTTGTTCCGACATGTTTGACTATGCGTGTCACTCGCGCAAGTAGGAAGACGAGGATGCATAACGATGATGCAGTACATGTTTGCTTGCGCAGTACAGAGGGTTAGACGCAGTCATATCTCATGATAAACTACTTGCGAACAGTAGAAGCTCAGGCACTAAGGTATGCAGTGTAGAATTCAGACCCCTAATTTGTGTCCAGGACGGGTCGGAGCGAATATTTGAAGCCATGACTTGATTAATTCTACGCAGAATAGGAATAAGCCAATCACTAAGCATTACCTACCAGTATGATGCAAACTGATTGTGAAGGTTGTTTTTCGAGAATATATACATCAGCAAGTAGAAAGAGTGGAAAGATCATAAAGCAAGATGGTATAAGGTATTCGAGGATAATGGGAAAATAGTTGCACCAATGAACGACAGCCAATGATACAAAGGTAACGCTTATGAAACTAGCAGAGCTCCTGTCAGGGGTTACGATGAGATAAGTAACACACGAGATTAGTGTCCCGACGCGCTTATCGGGGAAAGAAAGACTTACTTATAAAAGATGAAGATGAACTTGAACTATTAAACCAGTAACGCAAGCCGAGCTCCGCTACTGAGCAACCTCTTTTCCATTCGGGGACAGAGACATCGCGTTTAGTCGCGACGTAGAGGGAAATCCGACAGACTGTTTGAGGCGTGGTTGCAGCATGTCGAATGAGAAACTTAGAGGCAGATGTTACTAACAGACGAAAGCTCCTAGCAGTTTTCAAAACTAATCATTTCTACACAGAATTAGGAACAAGTGAATTGTATGCGAGAGTGCGGGTCAGACGTGTAAAAAAAGCAGCTATTGAGGATCTTATAGTTGACCCGTCTTCGCATACAAACATAAAGAGTATCTATGTAGTTCTTCTTCTTTTTGGGAATTTCGGTAATGGAGTGATTATGCAGCAGACGGATTTGCGCAAGAATCCACTATAGTGCTAGTTCCGTTGCGACTATGACCGGGGAAGGAAATAGGAAAACAAGAAGGATGTACCTAGCGCGCACCTAAAAACAACTGTTTTATGTGCGCCACATGTAAGTACAGGGAGCTCAGTATGTAATAGTTTTGCGCGCAAGTACTCGTACCACGAGAAGCACGATTCTTCACCGCATCGTGCTAGCCAGTGCTTGGTGCTGTTCTTTGGCAGTGGCTAGATTTGACCTGCTCGGACCATATTTAGTTGCGAAGATAGAAGTCCTTGAAAACATCGGTATGCGAAGCAGCGAGAGGATCAATCTTACTTCATTATGAATGCAAAAGGCGATCGAGGGTTTGTGCGAAGAGAGAGACGCGCACAGCAGAGTGAAACATACGTAACTGAACATTTGCGTTCATGAGCATAGTAAGTCTAAGCTAACCTAGTAGGGTGTACAACATTCATGATAGGTATATCTTCTGTAGCTCCTACTTGGTGTTACTTGCACTATGACTACCATAATGATACGAGGAGTTCTCGGCCCCTTGCTTTTTTTGTTGTCACAGGTTCTTGTGCTGTTGTTTTTCTCTGCGTTCGTGCTTGCTGACGAAGGCGAGGATGGCAGCGGCGAGAAGAAGAAGGAGGGAAGCATGGAGAGCACGATTATGTGCACTTTTGATGGGCATCCGGAATTAGACGTTGTGGACTGGACAGCGTTTTTCACCGTATTGCAGCAGCATTGCAGTTACGCGGAAGCGCAGTTTCGGATTGTATGCGCGCCTCAAGCGGTCGCTCTGGCCAGTTGGGTCACATTACGGCCGAATCGCGCAGTTGCTTCCTGAACAACTTCCTTTGCCGCTTTTCTCCTCGGAAAAAAGTGAAGCAGGATTCTTGGGACAAGAAAAGTGAAGATCAGGCTGCTCACTTTTTGGCTCTAATCAAAGCGGAAATCGCTTCTGCGATGCGGGAACACGAGTTGAATCTCCTGTGCCCCAATGGCGTAGTGCAGGCAACATCGATTGCGTTGGCGCACAACACGACGCACCACCTGAAGCATCGCTGGGTATTGCGGGAAGCTCTACAAAAATTATTGATGTGACTCATAATTTTTGCTTTTACACTTCCACGGAGGTAAAATTACCTGTTGTAGCAAGATGTTGAAACATTGATAGCGCTGTATCAGAATCAATGTTCCTGAACTACGCTTCAACACTGCATAATTTTGATTTCAAAATTTAGCAAAATACGTCTGGCCACTATGATTCACGTGCAACCTACTCTTTCACAACTTAGCAGCAGATCCTTCAACGCCCTGCGACGTCCCGCTCTAATTACAAGCTACGTCTTGGATAATTCGAAGTGGCATGTGAAAAGCGTGGATGCTTTGGAGCTCTTGCGAGATACGTACAGACGGACAGAATTTTCAGCAAAGGGAGTAGAACCTGTTCCGGTAGTACGAAATCAGCAGATGGTTTTTGGAGATGCCATCTTGGGTCCACCGGTGCGAGATCGCCAACTGATACCTGGATTAAGGCTACCGCTGAAGCATCCTCACCACTATCCTTGGGGCGATTTTCAAGGGGAAAAGGGGCTCAGGGATGGGCTCAAGGGTGCGGCGCCACGTGGTAGCTCTAACCAGAGGTGTAACAATTTTGGCGCCTTTCGTTGATGCTGCTAGTATGCAAGCTGGCGCGTTTGCCGACATCCTCAGGAACGAGGAACTACAGGCGCAAAACGGCGGCGGAGTGCGCGTTCTTTATCCAGGATCGAGCCTTTTTGAAGAAAGTCAAAGTTCTAGTATGGCAGGAGACGAGGCTGCACGAAGCAAGGCAGCTGCGAAAGAACGTCGTCGTTCTTTGGGCGACAAAATGAACCGTCTTAGTGATGAGGTGGACACGGAATACACGCTAGTTGTCGCTTCCGAACTGATCCCCAGTGCAGACGACTTGAAACGACTGCTACACGTGTTAGATCAAGACGATGGCTACCTATCGGGTGTGAGCTTTTCCGGTTTAACCAATGCCGAAGGTTCTTTGTCAGAACAGTTTGCTACTTCTCAACATTTAGCGAAGAAAATTTCATCGCCTTCGCAACGCAGACGCATCCTGGATTTTTGCTATTCTCTGAAAGCAAAACACTGGATTTTGCGATTTTCACGGGATTACTTCTCGTACACGATACCCAGAGAAAAAATGCATCCCAAGTTGTTACCCCCTGACACGAAAGTCAGCATGCACGATGACGGCGCGGTGCGCTACGGGAGCTCAGTACGAAGTTACCATGAGCCGTTCCTTGCGCACGAACTTCAGAGTTGCAAAACGTGCGAAACCTTAGCGCCAACGTTCCTTTATGAGCACTTTATAGGTTCTTCAAGATATCTGTTTATAATAGGGGTCTTCTAGATCATATCTGTTTTTGATTTGTCATTGAGGTTGATGTAGTCCTCAAAATTTTCATTGCTGATTGAAATTCAACTTCAATCTATGGTGGTAACAAGACAGGGTAATGACATGAGTACTGCACTATCCTCTAGGAGACCCTAGGAGATCCGTGATATCCGCAATATCTACTCCAGACTGCAGAGTCCAGCCAATTCCCACTTTTTCATACTCTTGTGCGAACGAAAGTGCTTACGGATAGTGCGCCGTTTCGCGTGTCTTTAGATGGAGAGTGGGCGCTTTTAGACTGGTTTCTGCGCAAGAGCTGGCACGAAAAGGGGGAACATGGGTTCGCGCAGTGCGTTGGGGGATACCTCCATCCGATGCACCTGTTTGTTCAAGGATCATCCAGTAGTACAACATCATCTAGTTATGTAGTAAGCACTAGTAGCGCAGTAGAACTCGTCGCAAGTCGTGAGTGGCGTCATCTTTACGGTGCAAAAGAAGATGTGGGGTTCTTTTTTTCATCGAGGTTGTCCGCAGACTTTCGGCACTGGCTCAGCCACCTACTTCCAATGGGCGCACAGCAGGGGCTAGATAGGCACGTAAATTAAGGCCCAAAACAACTCATTTCCAGCGGTCATTTTCTTCTGTTTCCTTCTTAGGAAGTTTAGGAATGACCTAAAGAAATGAATCGCTTTGGGCTCTAAGTAAAGGAGTTCCTGGAAAAGAACGACCTGAAAGAAATAGAAACGATTGATGGTGAGGAGCGGAGATATGGATGCACATTGCGCACCCCAAATTGCCCCATGGATTGGCTCTACAAAGGCTGGGCGATCCCTCCTTGCTGTCGCCGCACGTTGCAGAACTTGGTTTTTTTCGCCGATGAACTCTTCGCGGAACACAAAATCAAATTTAGGATACATTTTTACATACCACTCACCTTTCTACCGGCATTCATTCAGACAATACTTTCTAATTGTGGAGGCAATACTTCTTATGAGCATCTTCATGCTCCTGATCATGAGGAGACACTATTTGTGTGAAGTAGATACTCACGGCTATGAACTAGCAGTTTTCTAATTCCTTCACATTATAGATGTTTTCGCAGACCACTAGTTTCCGTTTCGTATTCTCAATAGAGGTGGACTCTACAACCTTCTATATTCAGACCTAAAGTTTTTGCTTGTAATGATGACTTGACAATAGAATAGGCAATAACAACTTGACCACATAATTCGCTTTCGCACATCATCACTTCTGCTTCATATTTGACATCGTAACCGACGGCGGCCTTCTCGGAGGATTAAAGCTAGGACGGTTTCTAGACTGGGATGGCGATGTGGACTTCCATATCGAGGACGAGAGCTTTGACAGGTTGGAGTCTCTGCGGCCATGGATCGAACAGGCAGGATACCATCTGCGACTGCACGAGGGAGGCAATAGCTACTTGCTGCAGGCGAACAAGTTCAACTACTTGCTTATGGCGATGGATTCTTGCAGTGTTCTTACATATCGGGGCGCCTCTGTTTTGCGGTATTGTCTTTGGAATAGGGGCAGGGGGCGGGCTGCCGCTTTCCGTGTGCATCGGCCGGCCAAACTCTCGCTGTAGGACGCGGTGAGGCCGGTGGGCGCGCGCGTCAGGGTAGCGCCGGTCAATGAAGGCGGCCTGCCAAAGTGGGGCCTGATAAACTTACAAGAAACGCGGGGAGCACAGCAGCACCCGGCAAGCTCGTCAAGCTCTTCGGGAAAGCGTGCCCCGTCTCTCTTAGCACTGGCCCCGCCGGAAACAGCGCATGAGCCACGGCGCGGACGTGCTCACACGAAGGGAGAGGGCCAACGGAATTTCATGCAGGACCTGCAGCGCGGCGCACTTCGTGCCCAAAACCAGACACGGGGGGCACGTGATAGGGGGCGCGAATCATTTCAGTCAGGAGCTGGCCAAGGTTTTCGCTTGGTTGCGCCGCCAGTGGAGTGCACTCCCTGCCAGGTAGGGGATTCAGTCTTCGGAAAAGTCTTGCAAAGGGGCGGCCGGGTTGTTGTTTTGGGGGTGCCTTTGCTCGGCGCCCCGCGTCGCTAAAACCACAGACGCCAGGCCGCTGCTGTAAGTATTGACGCAGGGGAGGCACCAAAGAAAAGCGGCCGAGCGTGAGACAGAGGGCGCGCGCGGCAGGCAAGAGGCTGACGACGACAGAGGGGAAAGGAGGCCGCGCAAGCCTCAACCGGCGGGGCGGGCAGCCTCCGCCGCGCCACGCGCTGGCCATCGAGCCCCGTGCGGACAGTGTCACAAGCGTCCCCCACGGCCCAAGCAGTTCTGTACATTGCAGAACGCATCCGCCACCGTGCAGCCCTTTGGTGGAGTCGGTCTGGCCATTGTCACCAAGCGCCAGACTTGCTCTCTTTCCTCTGTGAAGATCCGCTGCGTACAGTTCGCAGGCGGTCGGCCAAGGTGGGGAGCTTTCGCCAATCTTGACCCCTTTTGCAGGCCTGGTCCTGGCGTTGTCCTCATGCAACCCGCTGCGGGCCGGGTCCTCGACAGCGCCAATGTAAATAGGGGCCATGCCTAACCTCTCACCGACCCCGGGGCAAATAGTATGTAGCCGCACTCGCAGGAACCAAGGGCGCGCTTTCGCATGTCGTTAGGTAAGACCGCGCTGGGATATTGGGCCGGCGAAATGTCTCCAGCTGATTGCTGAGCTGACAAAGCTGGGCCGTTCTCTTGTCCGCGCCTGCCTCGGGGCTGGTAGCTTGGCGCAGTCAGTCTGCCAGGCTCGGCGGCTTTCGAGGGGAGGCACGCAGCGACCCCGCTGACCGGCCGGCAAGCGCGAGCCCGCGAGGATGCTAGGGTCAGCAGGCTCAGTCATGGCGGCGGCGCGCGGACAAGCAACAGCGCAGGAACGCGCGAAGCTTCCACGACCGGGGGGCCCGGAACCTGCCTCCCCCTGGGTGGGTGTTTTTTTTGTATGAACTTTGACGAGCTACAAGTCCCTCAGCGTGGTGCGGTTTGCTTTCGGCGGTGCCCAGCGTAGACACACGCGCGCGATTTTCGTTTGGGGTTTCCGGGCGGTGGCGGGGCCTTGGTAATTTCGCTGAGCCGCTCTCCGGGCTCTCGTACACGTGCGCGGCAGGTGGGCGGAATCTCGGAGGTGGCGGCGGGCGTTCATCCTTGACCGAGCGGCTTAGGGCTTGTCTATCGGTGGGCTACGGTGTGGACTGAAATCGCAGCTGAGTCGAGCGGCCAGAGAAATGGCGACCTGGCTGAGGAGACGGCAACCAAGAGAGACCAAGCAAAGAGCAAAGGAGGACGGCAAGGGGCCGCTGACGTTGCCGCGCGGCTGCACACGGGCGGCAGGCTGCTCGGGTGTTAGCTTCAGGCGGGCAGACTGCGTGGGAAGCGAGCAGGGGGCGCAGCCTTGGGGGTGGCATTTGCTGGAGGCGTCTGCCGGGGAACTCTCCAGCCACGCACGTGAGCCCGTGCAACCATATCGGGGGGCGCAGCCAGTCGACGGCGAATGCCGCGTGAGCTTCGTCACGCGACCGCCGTAGGCCTACAAGCTGACCGCCGGGCCTCGTAGGTCTGCTGCGCTGTCAGTCTGCTGCGGTGCCCTCGGCGTCGGCTTTGATTGTGGCTGGGTGGCGTTGGGCTTCTCGTGTTAGCTTTGTCGCGCTTTTGGCCAGCCGTGGATGACTATCGTGGCAGCAACTTAGGCGCGAGGGAAGAGGGAACGCGCGTGCAAATAAATTCAGAGGAAATGAAAGGAAGGCTGGCGCGGTCTGTGTGATGATTCTAATACCATGCTCGAGCTAAACAAACGGGCTGAGCGCTTTCCAGACGATATATGGATGATGGAGATCGATGGACGATGGTTGCCGGTAATGGACAATCCTGGACGAAACGTGAGTTATGACTTTTCTGGATTGTCCGTGTCTTTCTAGATCATTAGCTACACGTCGTCTTCTATCATAACTACTTACAAACGGAATTTTTCCTTTTGTTTAGGATTAGGTTTGATCAGCTTCGTCTGCACCTAATCGACCAAGTCTTTCTTTCAAACATAATGTGTCACAGGCATGTAAGTACAACTTTTCTCTCCAGATCATAATCGAGATAATCTTAACTTTTAGAAATTACCAGCTTCAACACTACTGATCTCATGTGTCTTATGTTCAATATGATTGTCTCTTCTAATGTCATGAGTGGTACGGCGAAGGCATCTACGCGCATCGAGCGCGTTACATTCCGCCGTGGGAAGAAGATGCGGGAAATTTGATGTTTTGTAGTAATCCCGGACACCACAACTGCGTCGACGACTTGCCTCACGGCGACGACTGCCATTTAAAAGGCCCCTGCAACAGGGAAAAATGGGTCCAAAAACTAGCGATATCAACTTAATGGCAAGAGGTCTGTCGAAGAAATTTTTTGACAGGGGTGGTCGTACGTTGCAACATCTAATGATAGTAGTTGAACAATCATATTTAATACCTGATAGGTTACAATTTATTTCCTAGTTATTGTTGTTTATTCGGGGACATTGAAAGAGACGGGCGCTTGGGTCAAATACCTGCACGGGACGTCGTTAGAAGATTTTTATATATAATGGGATACAAGGAGTCACTTTTTGACTACAAGAGGATATAGGGGCTCAATTTTTTCAATACCAGAAGTACACCGATTCACATCTAATGCTAAGGGTATGCGCTTCCTTTGTTACCTATCGAGAAGGAAAGAATGAACACTGGCAAAGCAGCATCGCATGGTTGCATGACATCACACTAAATAGCCTCTCTTGTTCTTGGAAGAGATAGAGAAAAGTGCCGATTGATTTTCTCAGAAAAAGAAGGAGATTCTCCAAATGAGTATCTATAGGAAGACACGTGGAACCAGAAGAAAATTCTTACAAAAAAAAGAAAAATTGGTACAAGACTCTAGCAAGCTGTTGAATAGAAAGAAGTTCGAAATATACTAGAGGAAAAAAAAATCGCATAGATGAGGTAAATCTCAGCTTCGCTCGTCGGGCTGCGGCCGTCTCCGGTCACTCCCGCAGTTGTAGAGGAAAAATGGCAGTTCCGATGAATTTTTGCCGCAGCACGCTTGCAGGCGTACTCATTGCTGCATGTACTGCCTCCACTAGTACAGTATCGACAGTTGCAGCAGTTGTGGTCGATCCGACCTATTTCCGCGATGCAAATCGTGTTCGAGCTGAGCTGCGTATGTTTGCAACCTCGTCAGACGTTTCCGAAGATACGTTGAAAACCGAGGAAGATCTTCATGGAGGATCTTCAAATGAGAAATCTTCAAGCAAGCTGCATCATCAGAATGGCGGATCCAGCACAGACCTTATGGATCCCAAGCCGCTACATCAGAATGGCGAATCCAGCAAAGAGCCTATGATGGATCACGCCGAACCCGAACAACCTATGAACCATATGGCCATGCTCCACCAGCAGCATGAACTTCAACTGCGCAGAGAAGCAGAGGCCGCTCATATGATGCTGAACACGGCAACCTGTGAGAAATTTGCTTCTGCGGTGGAGGCACTACAATGCTCTCTCGCTATGGAAGTGAGCGGATTCCCGGAAGGTAGTGCTAATGTAATTTGCAGTAAAATATTGAATAAGTAGACGAAATGAATTATGGCTATGAATAGACCTCTCAGGAGGTGGTATCGCGGAAAAAGAGAAGTTAAAATGACAACTTATAAAACTAGTCGATGGAGTCGTTTTTTGAATTTATGATAGCCGGCTAGTTCCCCTCGCCTGTTCGGATACTGTTGTAGTCCCACCCTATTGACAACAAATGATAGTTTGTCTTCTAACATTTTCTCGCACTCAGGCTGTGAGTGCCAGTTCGATAAGGCAGAGTGCCCGGCTTTTACTGACGCAGGGGAGCCTTTTGACACATTTTTCACTGCGCAAACGGCAGACGCGGCTCACCTTGGCGTGCGCCTCTGTATGTACTGGAAGACCACGCCGCCTGAGGATCTCGCACCTGCGTCTGAGGCCCGTGCAGCGGCGAAGAAAGCATTGACTTTGCGTAATGCGCAACACATCTTAGACCTCGCTGGCGGTTATGCACGAAAAGATGCGCACGCTGTGCACAGTGGATGGCTCACGAGATGAACAGCCTTGTTGGATCTTCCTCTTGGTATAGATGGTAATAAAATTGCTTCACAGAGGACTGCACAGATAAAGCAATGAAGTCTTGTTTTTTCCGACGCCTTCACCGAGGAACGTACTTATTCAGAAAATGACCTTCGCAAAGAACATACTGATGTCGAAGTGTTCAGGACTTAATCTCCGCGTGTGCGAAGTCTTCACGAGGCGGCTTCTTCAGTCGTAAGCTGTGCTAGAATTTCCAAGATAAGAAGCACTCGAGCGTGATGAAATACTAGTGTCCTCGCAACATCACAACTGTCGGTATGAATACTTTTGACCAAGGACCGTGAGCTGTCCCAAGCACGAGAAGAGCCATTTGACATCATAGCGCCGTGTGTTGATGGCGTTAGAGACAAGGAACTGGAGAGAGATCAGGATCAACGAGACAATCGGATCGAGAGTTCTTGTAGGAGCTACAACTGGATTTCATGTTTTATATTTGTTCCGAGATACCGCGTGTTAGGCAACTTGCCGAATAGATTCGCAACGTCATGGCGTCGGTCTGATCTCCTGTATCTTTCGAATCTGTCCATCCGTTGAACCCAGCGCACACCACTACCTCCATATTCTCCACCCCAAATCCACCTCCCGAAGTCACCTCTTTTCAACTCCCAATCTCGCACGTCGGTTTTGATAATGAATAGAGTATCATTAGTTTGAGTATCATACTTACACTATTGTCGCAGTGATTCTTATGTAGCGAACGATAGATCATTACCACCACCGTGAGTATTTGTTTGCCAAATGAATCTTCGAGTATCATCAGAGATGGATTAAGATGCTACTAACGTTATTCATGTTCATGGATAATTGAGCCTATAAATCTACGTTGCACGTGATACATAGTAGACTTGCTTAGTGAAAGCTGAGCGACCCCGTCTATTCTCCTGATTGTACCTGCCACGGCGTACCCGCTTTTATTCTAATGTCAACATATCAATCCTAAGAACCAGATAGTCCTTCCAACGAACAGCGTCATCTTTTAAGAAAAATATTATCATCCCAAACTATCAAAGGTGAATTCATTCGGGTAGTAAGAGCTCCGATTGTAGTTCTACTGAGTGCTAGGTGTACCACGCGTGACGTCATCTTCAGCATTCTTCACGAGAAATCGAACTTATTTTTCTAAAAGTCTTCGAGAAGATCCTTCCATGTGATTCTTCCTTGTAGTTCCCTATCATCATACCATTGAGCTGAATAATTATTCTTTGAACATCGATTATCGTTGAAACCCTCCTGAGCCTCATAATCACAACTCGCTACGAGTAAATACAAGCACCATTTTTTTGGTTTCGGTTGTTGGAATTCTTGGATTGCTATGCGTACTACCCATCGAGGGCATCCGCACCTGTCACCAACTGAAGTCAACCAAGCTGCTGCGAAGATTCCGGCAAAGCTTCTCATCGTTTTGCACGTGGTACTGCTCAGCAGCTCCAACTGCTAGACGAGGAACAAGAACGAGGTTCTTCCAGGTCATATCTTTCTTATGGACTTGCAGAACAAGTGACATTCTCGATAAGCGACTATCTTCGTTGCAGCGCACTTAGAATTCGCAAGCTGGGAGGACTTAGATACAGAGAAGTAGAACTACGTGGGGACGCAGATACAATTCAGATTGCGGACTACGTACACCGAAAATTTGCCTATTCGAGACGACAGGTCGCAGTGAAAAGTCGCAGCGGAAGAGACCGTAGCTGTACGTTGGCGCGTGTATCTTCGCAACTAGATAATCTAGATCTTGCAGCGACGAGTCCACGTAATAGGCGATACCAAAACGATAGAAAGACATCTTCAATCTTCCAGCTGACCACTCCACCTCGAAGAGCACAAAAGTTGTAGCGTGGTTCTTCAGCAGAAGACGCCAAGAATAGGACTCCGCTCTCTCCTCGTCGTCTGGTAGAAGGAGTTGCTCGTCGTTTAGCAGCAGGATTTACTTCAAGTAAAATCAGGAGTCACTCGTCTAGAAGGAGTTACTTCACGTTTGATTGCACAACAATGTCTGGCGCCGACGCGGCCAACGGCATTGGGCTGGAGCAGGTCCGGATGCAGGTCGACGAGGCCGCAGACCTGGTGAACGCCAATGATGGTGAGGGTAGTGGCAATGCCAAGGAGGCCTTGGGCGGACCCAATCCGAACAACGCTGGCGAGTTTCCTGGTCTAGACGCAGCAGGAAACGTCGTGAAGCGTAGCGGCGCAGACGAGGACGGAAGCAAATTCGCAGAGAGAAAGCTAGAGAGCAAGCACGCAGCAGCTAGCCAAGATTCATCGCATCTCAACGAAAACGCACAACTTGAAGTCTTTCGTCCGAATGGTAGATCAATCATGAAGGATTCTTGTAAGAAGTAGAGCATCTAATAAACATGTGCTTTGTTTGATGAACACACAAGAAGTACCGCGTAGATGCCTACCTTATCCATCTATCCATCTGTCTATCTACCTACCTACCTACCTCCTCCTACAACGGCTTTTTTGCATGAAAATCATTGCAGGTCATTCTTTCTTCGTCGGCATTGACGAGAACGAGTTAGTGGACTGCGCATTGCGGGAAGTGCTCGAAAAGATCAAGAAGTGCACTAACACCGATGCGGACATCGCCAACACCCCAGCAAAATGGCTGGAACTTTGCGCACACAACCACGACATGCCACTATGAATTGTTTCCATCAGGATGAATGACCCACATCACACTACAAGAAGTTGAATTCTTTGATCATGACATTTGGTTAAGTTCGAGTCAGAAGTGTGCTTTTCGCTGACTTGTTATTTAACTATGAGAGCTGACTTGTTATCTAACTATAGAAGAATTCACTTTCTAAGTTCTTTGGACCTACTTGTCCATATGAAACTGACATTGCTTTCCCTCTAATGTCCTCCTACGGCGAAGTGTTAAAACGAGATGCCAACGCTCTGCAAGTGCTGCAGGAGTGCGGATGGACGGTGCTCATTTTCGTGAAGCCATTTCAGGAACCAGGAGAAAGCTACGTAGACGTTCTGGAGAACAAGTGCGAGGAATTCGATCATGCGCGATACGTGTTGGAGCAAATGACGGATGAAGAGTTGAACCGCGACTATCAGCAGGAAAGACACGGACAGATGAATCTTCTACAGTACTACTTCGAAGAGAAATTTTTAATTGGATTTTTTTCAGAATCAGAACTTCTATAATCACATGTGAGAATGTTTCTTTTTCTTAAAAATCTTTGCTACCTCTTGAATGGGTACACTACTACTACTACTACTACTTAGGTAAAAAATTCGATGAATCATGACACAAACAGCCACAAGACATCTTTGGTTGGGCAGTATCTTGTGACTGCAGATTCCTGGTTTGTACTGTTTGACCATGTTCGTAGAAGAAACACTTAATTATAAAACTTCTTCACTTCTAATTGACGAGTATGTTTAGGCATCCACAGCTCTGCCTGTTTTCAATCTCAGGTATCTGAGGGAGAAACCATGTGCCGTTCTAGCGATTATTGCGTCATTGCCGCGGTTCACCCGACTGCTCGACCCTCACCCGGAGAGGCATCAGAGTTGCCTCTCGGACGCTTGCAGATTAGGACAGAAGTACTACTGGAAGCTACATTTCTTGAAAGTGATGCTTATAATGATTCACGGGGGTGAGTAAGCAGAATTGATTCTTGATTGTACCTAAAAGTAGTAGTTTGTGACCTTGTCTTGTTGTCCCGTGGGAATCATTAATAAAGTAAACGATTAAGATACTTGAAAGGAAATTAGCAGAGTCGATACAACGTGGGCATTACTCATGCCCTTCACATCTGTCAATGGGGTTCTACTCGAACCCGAATCGTCCCAGCCGATGCGGCCTGGCCGTGGTGCAGCGGACCCTCAACCTTAACCTTAACCATACTTGAAAGGAAAAAAACTGATATTCAAAAATCCTGATTCCCACAGGGACGCAGTGGAAGCTTTGTTTGGAAATAAGCATACACCAGACGAGCTGATATCATGTCCAAACGAGCATCGGGCGACCTATTTGCACCAAGCATGCTACAATGGCCATTTGAATATCGTGGAGTACGTGCTCACGCATCCACGGTACTAGGACTAGATAGAAGCGACGGACTAGTTAAGTAGTTATTTTTATGATGTGGGACGATAGATACAGGAAAAGACTGTCTCATTTTTTCTGATTGAACCCTCGCCCTCCAGTATTTGTTGGTAGCTACAACTGCAGATGAAAAAGTAATTAACTATGCTGCTACAAGCCTCGCACTTACGCCATCAAGAATTCAAAATTTCTTCCAGGTTCCCACAAGGACTCGACCTCTGGGTGAGAGGAAACACCCATAATGCCACTTGCATGCATCTTGCATGCTGTCGGCCGCAAATCGAAGTAGCAAAATTTTTGGTAACCCACCCAAAATGCCCCAAAGAACTCATCAACTGGGGCAACAAGCATAGTGCCACATGCCTCCATCTTGCATGCGAGGATGCACATATTCAGGTACTCTTGTTGTCCTCTTCCATAGTACTGGAGAGCGGTACTTTGAATTACTCGAACAACCATTTCTCTACCTTTCAAGCTTCGCCACGATATCGCGAAAGCGTCTAGTTCTCAGACTCACGAAAGCAAACCAATTCTATTTCTGCATTGTTTCAGGTTGTCGAGTTTTTGGTTTCCGCGCAAAAGTGTCGGGAAGAGCGTCTCATCTTGCAGCAGAACAAGAACGGTTTTACCTGTCTCCACCTCGCGATACAGAAGGGTCACATCGAGGTCGTCAAGGCCCTTCTCAATAACTCGGATGCCCTCACCGTCGCTGCTCTCATCCCACTTCAGACGAAGAATGGTACAGGCTTTAGTATAGTAAGTAGAAATTTCTTGGAGAAGAATGTCCATGTCCTGTGACTGAATGTCCTGTTTTAGTTGTGGTCGTGTCTACCAGTTGTAAAGTGTAATCATAAAAAGACTTGAGAAATTTTTATTTCACCGATTTCCGACAGGTAACACCTGCTTCCACATCACATGCCAAGAGGGTTTTGTGCCAATAATGGAATTTCTGTGGTTCCATAGCGACGTGCCAAAAGAGGACATGGTCGGTGCACAGGATAAGGATGGGTACTATAATAGAATTAATAGCCGCTGTTGATCAATGTTTTTCCTTCGTTACTGCAATCTTCACGGAATCAAGATCGACAAGGATACACATTGACAATCATGATACACATTGACAATCACTTCCAAACAGAAACTAGGCGTCAACTTTCAGAACGTGTGATTTTTGAATAATCATTTACATAACGCCTTTCACGCACAAAGAATAATCAGTACTTCCGAGACCTATGTGAGAGAAATGCTAAACACCAACATCCTTCCAGGTACAATTGCCTGAACGACGCGTGTTACTATGGGCATTTGCAGCTCATAGAATTTTTCTTCAATCACTGGCCGCAGGAAGATGTAGCAGCGCGATACCGAAGCACACACCATAGACCACTAGGTATTCACTATGTTTTTTTTTTCATTAGCCTCTGATTTCACCTGTTAGATATCTTTTCTTTCATGAGACCCTTTTATCAGATGTTGGCTCTGAAGATTGGTTCCTGTGTTTCACCACTACGTTTGTTTCATGGCCTACAGTTTCAACATTCTGCATAGCAGGGTACTTTTTGTCGCCAGAATTTCCTACTTAATATTCTTGTTAGGGGAAACATACATTCCCTCTCCATGTGACACCTTAATCCCTGCTCACCCAGCAGCACCTCGCATGAAGGCAGTCGCAACTGGAGGTGGTCATCATGACGCATCAGCCAGATCAAGCGGTGGTGACAAGGAAAAAGATGCGAGTGATTTGAATAATCAATCTGCGGGAGGACCAGACTCGCCGTCCGTGGATGCGACAAATACAGACGACAATCGAGATTGGGAAGATGATATATCTTTAGTCAGCCAGGATGATAGGTACTTACAACATTTTTGAATTTGAGTCGTTTTTCTCTGGTTATCTATTCATTATCTCATTAGCAGTTCGGTCCTCGAAGATACTGTAATTGAAATCTCGAAAAATATGTCTCCAACACCAGCATCACCTCGGTTTACAAAAAAGGTTTCCATCGTTGACGGACTTGATTTTCTCTGTGTCTGGGGGTATAGGCAACTGCCTTCACGTAGCCTGCAGTCGTGGGCATTTGAGTATCGTGGAATTTCTATGTACTCGCAAGAACGGCGGCAGCGGAGGGCTTGGTGGTGTCGGAGACATCACGGGTGGTGAACATCTGCAGAGAGAAGGTTATGGGCAGGTTAAAGGTGTTCTTGTTACTAGCGTTGGTTTTGCCCCTTTTGCATAAGGGGGAAAGGCATAACGAACGGGATAAAGAACAACACCAAATTTGTACCTCTAAGAAGGCGATAGCCCGGCGTCAGCCGCTGCGGAGGTGTCCGCTATGAACGGGGACCACTCAGGCGGCCAGAGCAGCAGCAGTCGGGAGCCAGCCGCTGCGTCCTCCAGTGCATCGCCAAGTGGCCAGCATCAGAGTGGGCTGCTGCCACTGGGCACGGGAGCGAGTCAGCACGGCCACTCGTCGTCGAGTAGCACTGTGCGCGGCGGCGCGCGAGGGGAAGCTGCAAGTCCACGAGCGGGTCCGCCGAATAACACAAATGTTGGTGGCAACGCTGGAGGAACGACGGGAGCAGCAGCGCCAGCTTCACCGGGAGCAGGAGCAGCAACGGACCGCTACCCGCCCAACGGGCCCGAGCGGGGAGGCCCGAGCCTCGGCACCGCAGATCACGCGGAACATCAGGGCAGTCCTAGCAGTTTCAACGAGATGTCAGATGAAGAGTCGAGCGAGGTCGGCCCAGAGCAGTTCTACTCCATCGAGCAGTTAGTCTTGTCAAAAAACAAGCACAACGCCAGTGGACTGCATCTAGCCAGTATCAAGGGCCATCTAGAGATCGCCAAGTTCTTAGTGGACAACACAGGGCTCTCGCCCGAGAAGAAGCGCGATTTCCTAGGCCTGCAGAACAAGAAGGGAGCGACGTGTCTCCACTTCGCGTGCTACCACGGCAACGTGGAAGTCGTGAAATTCCTAGTGAACCATCCGAACTGCCCAAAGGAGCTGATTCAAGCGCGAAACCGCAACCACTACACGTGTCTGCACTCAGCCTGCGACGAGGGGCGCTTCGACGTCATCGAGTTTCTATGCTCGAACGCAAATTTCCCCATCGAGCTCCTCGCAGCGCAAGCACGGTCGAACACGATCTTGCACAAGGTAAATCATTTTATGATCACTGCTTCCAAAATTTGAATTCGTGTTGTCAAGTAGGACCGACCACTGTGTGAAGATTATACGGAGATTGATATTTATTACTAATTACACGTAGTTTTATGGTTTTGTTCCCCACTTTGTGTGTACTGAAGATGTTGATTTCATTAAATCGTGATCGTCTGAAATTGATTGGAATTCCAAGGTCTGCGAATACGGGTATTTGAATATCGTGAAGCTGCTAGTGCAGCAAAGTATCGCCGCAAGCGAACGTGGTGTGGTTTCAGAAAACGATCCGAGTTTCAAGCCAGACACTCTCGTAACTTTTCGCAACAATCTCGGAGACACGTGCCTCCACGTAGCAGCTGCAGAAGGGCACTTGCTCATAGTGGAGTACCTAGTCAAGTTATGGCAGGGGAGCTATTACTTGCATGAATCCTGTAGTTTGGGAGAAAGATAGAAAGAGATGGTGGCCTCTTTGCAGGAAATATAGCTAGCATTGCATCAAAAATAAATGCTTAGCACAGAAGATAGGGCGCTCCTCGAATGGGAGTTGTAAATTTAGGTGTAGAATAATCCAAGAGGGTCGACGTCAAACTACGGTGGATTAAACACTTCTAATCCCCTGCGCGGCCGCAGAAAAGTACAACCTGCTCTTCACGAAGAACAAGCAAGACATGACCTGCCTCCAACTGGCGTGCAGCGAGGGGCACCTTTCAGTAGTGGAATTCCTTCTCAACTTCTGCACGGTGAACGACCCAAGTCAAAAGAGAAAGGTACAAGCACGATATGAACATATTTTAGCTTTTTGAGCAAAAGATATCTGTACGTCCGGGAGTATTAATGGTTTTTATCTCTAAGTCAATAATTAATGGTTAGGTCACTGGAGAAAGTTCATTAACTTGTCGACTTTCTAAATCAGATTGCTTTCTAACAAATTTTAGATCACATCAAGACTCCACCTCCACCTCGCAGGAGAGAAATGAAGATCCCATCCTATCCCATTATTTCCAGGACTTGCTCACCCAGAGTTTGAATGTTTACCACGCCACTTGTCTCTTTTCGGCCTGTGAAGCCGGCCACACGCAGATTGTAGAGTGCTTGCTCGAGCACAAGCACTTCCCAGCACAGCTGATACACGCGCAAACGAAGTATGGCACCAGCTGTCTTCACGCAGCCTGCGAAAAGGGGTTCATGGATATCGTCCAACTTCTCATGAACCACAAACACTGCAACAAGCGGCTTATCCAGTGCAAGGATCGCGGAGGCCAGACGTGCCTCGAATTGGCAAAGTATTTCTTTTTTCTACTGGATGGACAAAAAATAAGTTCTACTTGTTGATCGTGGTGTCATGTTACAAATCAAAAGAATCCTATAGCGACGTAGTACAATCAATATGGATAAATACAGTAGAATCAATTAGTCGTGGATGTACTTGAAATATTCACGGAGGTCTTCATCCTACTTCGACAATTATCCTCAATAAAGGTGCGAAGGGCATGCTGAGATAGTGGAGTACGTGCAGAACCACTCACTCTGGAGCAAAGAAGAGGAACTGCCAGTCGGACCCGAGCAAGGTCCTTCAGTCGTAAACGCCGTCGCGACAACGATCAAGCGTTGGTTTGGGCGAGAGGAGCCGCGGTCGCCGCAATAAGCAGAACTTCCACAGAGAGGATCTTTGATATGCATAGCTAGGCTTATCGTGTAAATAATAGAGATCTTGTTCAGGAGTAAAGAATATTATGGCTCGATGAGTATTTGTATCTGTGGATGTTCTACGCATAAAAATGAGTACATCGGTCTTCACAATAACCTAATGAAAAGAAAGATAACTTATTATCATTCACCACGGCCACGATGCTCTTGAGCGGAATTGGTCAACATAGTTCGAAGTACTGAACCTAATACGCTCTTGTGATTATTCACTAAAATTTTCATTTTGACTCAAATTACTACTCCCTTGAAATCTTGTTGCTTGATGCTTCCAAATCTTGTTCTATAGCATTTCATTGTTTATTCAATTTATAAGTCGTATTCAGAACGTCGCCGGTTAGAGTGAAAGTGATCGTGCAAATTGCAAGCATGTCGCAGTGCGATGTTTCTTCATAAATGTAAATGCACGTCGGCTGTTCTGTGTCAGCCACTCCTTGCCATGAATTATAGCACCATCCGTAACCACTGCTTCCTCTTCGCACAACTCATAGTTGTATCACATGCTGCAGAGGAAGTATCAACATGGGCAAAAATGACACGTCGTGTAAATAGCAGTATCAAGAAGATGATCACAAACATTCATAGCAGATTGCAAGTCCTAGTATCTTCATGAGCATGAAGAAATCTAAAGCACATCGCACACCTTGTAAAAACATTTTTTGACAACTCGATGTCATGTGTGTAGAGAACTATCGATATTCAAGGAGGTGAAAAATTACAACCGAGAAACAATGTTTATAAGTTTTAAGCTTAACAAATATGCTTCATTGACCACCCAAGTAACTGCAACAGGCAGTTCCACTTAGAATTTAAGATATCCTGTTTCGAATTTACAACAACTTATGTCACTAGCACCAACGGTTATGAATTATCAAGAGCTTTGTGTCGTATCACAAATGTAGCAAGTATCCAAGAGCACGTAATGTACTGCATGGCATGATAGAACTCACTGTACAGAACTGCATACTCAATTCTTTGAGTAATCGTTTATTTGACTTGCAACGCGGATCTAAAAGACGCTAGAAGATACCGAACAAAGGTGCCTATTCAGAAAAGATCTTATTATGCCTATTTCATTCTCATTTTCATCAGTCCAAAATTGAATCTTGATATGCATCTTGCAACTCTTATGGATTTTAATCCTGGTTTCTTCAAATATGAAGCTTGTTAATATAGTTTGCATCGATTGACTAATTGACAAGCATTATTCACAGTGTTATCGAAGATCAAATAGATATATAGAAGTAGTTACATCATTCAACATTTTACGGTGGTGGAAGAATTTTTCAGCGTGAAATTGAGTGTCGCGGTCGCCCGCGGCGTTGTCGGAGCATGAATGGAACACCATGCATCGCAGGTTGTTTGCACTGTCAGCTCGCGAGGTCTGCGACAAAAAGAATAGTACGGTGCATGAAGAACAAGTATTCGACTGTTCTTGCATGTTATGGCACCAGAACTAGGAAACACATCTAGCTGTAGTCATGTGGTACACGTTGAGGTTGTATTTACAGGTACAAATAATTAGTGATTCTAGTCGAGTAGCTGTACACCCTGTTGGACTTTCTCTTACGACCCTAGTTCTAAGGAGTCTGTAAAATCCACCAAAGTTTGGAATTTCTCATAGGAACTCACGCGTTCCCCTCATCACGGAATGTAGTATAGGAAGACAGAGCTGGATCGCATAGAACATCACGATAGGCATTCGTATTATAGGAAAAAACCGAGCAACAGCGAACAATCTACCACGTTCTTCGCGTGTAGTACGTGGGTGAATAGGCTTTTCCAGGGGAGATGATCATACTGAGCCTTGCATTGGCAGCCACCAGTGAATATGAGCACATGCCCACACATATTAGACCTCCCCTTGGCCCCATCTTGTATCGCGCAACCAGATATTTTTTGGCCTCCCATGAAAAATCCACAGCTCAGAAGTTTGTACGACAACAACGACGCATACATGCGTTACGCATAGCCGCGTTGTGCCACAATCGCACTTGTAATCCGATTGGATCATCTGAGTATGCTAAATTTGGGCTGTGTTGACTTTCTTGAGTCTTCAGATGCAGAAAAGTGGACGAGTGAATAGAACGCGAGTGAATAGAACGAGGAGCTTCAAGTTTTTAGCGCTAGGTAGGTGAATTGAGTCTTCTGCTCGTTCACCGCTTTGCTATCCGTATCTGTGCGTCTGTGAAATCTTTGCTTTCTCTGCGCCCACCTAAGCTGGTGCGTCGAACACTTCGAAAAATTTGTAATTGTAAAAACCCTGCAGTCGCGATCAAAAAGAGTAGATCTCATGCGAAGACATGGAAAAGGAGGCAAAAAGACCAAAAAGGAGGAGAAAGCAAGTGCAGCTGCAACACCAATTAGATCTTCGACCTCACGCCAGGCACATCAATCAATCGATCATCTGAGTGTGCTAGATTTGATCGTTAACAAAACGATCAAATCTCGCTGGTAGTTTGTTAACGATCAAATCTAGCACACTCAGATTGCTCGTTAACAAATGTGGGCCAGCGAAATCTTGGCATGGCGAGCAGAACGCTGCAAAGCGACAGAGAAGTGGTGCTTGCGGCAGTGAAGCAAAATGGGGAGGCTCTTGAATATGCGAGTAATACGATGACAAATGACAAACATATGGTGCTTGCGGTAATCAAGCAAAACAGGGAGGCTCGTCGGTTTGCGACCCTCACCATGCAACAAGACAGAGAAGTGACGCCCGCGGCTGTCAGGCAAATGAGTGGAGAGGCTCTTGAGACTCGAAGGCCAACTGGTTCAGATTCTGGCGCAGGCCTTTCGTTAATTTAGCCACTCCCTGCGAAAAGGATTTCGCCCTGACCTTCCATCGGCACTGCAATGAGGCTCGGTTCGAATTTATAGCAACGTCGTGCGCTTGCAAGTAGATGGTATCATTTTTTTATTGAGGTGACTGGAGATAGATGTCGTTGTAGAAGATGGCGCTTTTTCGGGAGCCTCTATGACGCCTCTTTGGCAGTGCAAGAACGCTCTTCGGAAGGATTTGATTTCGATTTAATGCAAATGCAGCAACATGATTGTACTATCTGCAAGTGTAATGTGATATTTTCTGGTTGGTGCTTTTCATTTCACGAAAGTAGAGGAAATTCGTGCAAAGGGTTTTAAAAAACCCATTTAGTCAGGTGGGGAAGCATGATGTTCTTATAGAGCAGGATCACGGAAGATATTCAGGAAATATCTCATCACCATGAGCATGATGGATGAAAAACGATGGATGCTGAAATATCGAAACTAATGTAGCAGAATTGGTGAGGAGATTCGTGAAAAATGTGGATCATTTGGATGAGTTAAAGTACCCCAGAATGGGTAGACTTCGAGCGAATAGATCGGTGCGTTTGAGCAGCGCAATTTCAGCACTGTGGGCTTCGTCTGTAGAGAGAGATGCGCGACGTAAATTTGAGGCGACCGCTGGCATTGATTTTTGATACGTTTCAAATACAACTGTTCTTGAATGGGATTTGATTTCTGACCTTACGAACGACGACTGATCAATCGTTTTCGCTTCCATAACCAACGCTTGTTTACTTAATTTGTATCACCAACGCTGTCCGATAATTATTTTCGTGTCCCAATAAATTCACAATTTAAATTTTGCGAAATTAAAATGTTCTTCTCCCCGTCTTGACTTGCTTTTCCTCTGGTGCCATTTTTCATCCGCTATCCCGCTCTATTTTTCATTTGTGGTGACGTGACGTGGGAATTTACGCTGTAGGGAAGAGAAGAGCCGCAGGAAACCGAGGATATTAGCGACAATGCGGCGCTCTCTCTTAGTAACCAGCGGGGCGACCGCCCTCGCCGCCGAAAATTCCGGCATCAAAAAAGTCATTTCTCTCCTCAGCGACATGAAGTCAAAAGTGGAAACTGAAATTAAAGATGGCGATGTTGAGGCGGAGGAATTTGAAAACTGGTAAAAGAGGACTATAAAAGTTTTTGTATTGCATCCATTGCTATCAGAATTCTGTTTTCTTTGTAGAAATTTCGAAGTGTTTCAGCTGAAGAGCAGGTGCTTAGAACTCTCTGTTCGCCTCGTGGGCTTATTCACCTTTCACTTCGCAGGTGCATCAAGAGCATAACGGAGGGTGAGGCGGACGTCAAATATGGTGGCGAGAAGGTTGAGGAATTAAAAGCAACGGTGGAAAACGAAGCTGCGAAGGCCTCTGGGTTCGCAAACGAAGTATCGACATTAGCCCCTGAGATTGCGAAGCTCCAGGCGAACCAAGCGGCCGCAAAAGAGGAGCGAAAGGAGGCACATTCCACTTTCCAAAAAGAGGAAGCAGAATTAGTGGAGGCAGACACGATGCTGCAAAAAGCTTACTCCGTGCTCAAGCGATCACTCTCGTTTTTTTATGAGGAGACGTTGGCTCTCGTAAGTGTACTAGTAGTGAGGTCATTTGTTAGTAGTGAGGTCATTTGTCTATAATGACTAGGTTCGAGGAATTGTAATTGAGTGTTGGTTAACCTAGTGGTACTAACTTCCGACGGATCGTATCTGATGAGACGCAGAAAAAGCATTCAAATCACTTCGTCACCTCTATCTAAATTTTCTAAAGATTCTAAATTTTTCCTTTACGGTAAAAGGTGTGAAGTCCTCAGTTGTCGTTGTTTTTATTTTTTGCTTTGCTGCATAACACTTCCCATCCGTTCCTTTTTCATACCTCGCAGAGCGGCGGTAGCAATAGTAAGGCAGTCGATGACGCCAAAAACGCTGTCACGGCTCTTGCGACGATCATCGAATCCATTGGTGCAGACGCCGACTCTCAAGCTAAAATTAAGGCGTTCCTAGAGGAATCAGACCCAAGCGAGCAGCTTAATCTCCTGCAGCAACCGCAAGCTGCTACGAGCAACTACCAATCGAAATCCGGTGGTATCCTTGATGCCATTCAGGGCATGCAGGAGAAGAATGCACAAGTGCTTGCCGAACTACGTACCTACAAACATCCTTACATGGAGGGTCAGTGTTTTTTAAAGAAGAATTGTTTCATGTTTCTGTTGTTTTGCGTAAGCTCCGTGTTCTCTCTTACAACTAGCATGTCTCTATGGACCATATGTCTCTATGTACCGCTTAAGTATGTACCATATGTAGCATACCAGCTACCGCATGTCTCTATGTACCAAGGGACAAAATTCGTGTACGGAAATATTACGGTTCTTCACCTAGAAATTAGTACTTCCTAATATTTTCTCGTTTAAACGACTTTAAGGTGATAAGGACTTGAAGGCTCGACACGAGTTTGAGTTGCTGATGCAGGACCTGAAGAACCAGGAGGCGTCTAAGACCGAGCAACTAGAGGCAGCCAAGGAAAACGCAGCGAAGGCCGAAGCCGCAGGCAAGACCGCCGGTGGCGACTTAGCTTCGGCTGAGGACGTGCTCAAGTCGGATTCCGAAGAGCTAGGAAACACCAAAGCAGAGTGCGATACCAAGGCGAAGGCATGGGCAGCGCGCAAGGAGGAGGCAACCATGGAAGCAGGAGCCTTGTCGCAGGCTATCGAGATTCTCAGCGGAAAGTTCGGAGGCGAGAGCTTCTTGCAGGTTCAAATTGGACTTTTTAGAAATTTTAGACTCCAATAGCTAACGCGAAAGAAATTCTCAAATTTAGATGTGGCAGGTCCCTACTTGTGAGACACGGACGTATACGTCAGATCCTGATCCACGCAAATGTCGTATACTTCCAAGAGCAATTTTCAGATAACAACAGGTCCACGCTTCCGTCTTGGATCGTCGTGCTAAGGCCTCTCTGCTGCTCCGAAAGTTAGGCAACGAGTACAACCAGTTTTCCTTGATCCAAGCGGCCAACAGCGCGCAAGCAGACCCCTTTGTGAAGGTCCGGGGTATGATCAAGGACATGATCACCAAGCTGGAGGATGAAGCTGCCAAGGAGGCCTCGAAAGAAGCCAAATGCAAAGCCGATAAAGAGAAGGGTGAAAAGTTACGCCATTACTTGGTTTCTGAGCACAAGCTAATAAACTGTAATTACAGTTCACTAGCTCTACTTATATACCAATATGCAGTTCCCTTTTTAACAAGTTATAGTCTCTATCAAATTCATGTGTTGCAGTGTGAGAATACCACATGATACATGTTTAGAGTATGTCTGCTGGACCAGAAGTAGGTTTTTTCTGTGTCTCTTCTAATGCCGGACCTGAAGCTGAAAAAGGGCGATAATGCAAAGATCTCTTCTCGCGTCGATGCTGCGGAGGCTAAATTCGCAAAGCTCGGAACAGAAATCAGCGATTTGAACACTCAGCTCAACGAGCTTGCGGCAGATGTCAAGGAGCGCACGGCCCTGCGAAACAAGGTATTTGTTTACTTAGGAGATTTTACTTTTGGCTAGTAAATAGTGTTTCATCGCAGTGAGGAGGATGTTCGAGTGTTTCTTACTATAATTTGTTATCTATAATATGTAGTACAAGTGTCGTGAGATTAACTAAAAACAGCAGCATCTTCTTACTACAAGCAGCAGCATGTCAGCTTTTCATCAAACTTTTCTATGACCCCCTACAACAGGAAAAGAGCGAGAACGAGGCTGTTATCAAGGATGCTGCTGAGTCGGTCGAAGCTTTGAACGGTGCAATCACAGTTTTGCAGGACTTCTACGGAAAGGCAACGTCCTTCCTCCAGCAGCCGCAGTCGGATGCCGCGAACACCATCATTTCTTATGGAAACAGCACAAAGGTGTGCCATTGGCAAGCCTAAGCCCGATTTAGATATCTTAGATTTAGAAAGAATTTTTCTGCAGCAAGCATTTTACGAAAAAATTCATACTTGTGCTTGTGGGTAGTTGGTTCGCCACGGCGAACTTGGAAGTGAAATGTTGGTTCTAAATTTCCGTTTTGCAGACCGCGCAGGAAGATTTCGAGAAGCTGAAGCAGGAGACCGAGGCAGCCGAGAGCGACGCTGCTGACAAGTACGAGAAGTTCTCGCAGGAGGCTAAGGTCGCTCAGGCCACGAAGACTGCCAGCGTGAAGGGCAAGACGCAGGAAAAGGCAGGTGTGCAGGAGAGCATCGGCATGCTCTCCGAGGACCTGGCGGAGGCTGGCAAGGCCCTGCAAGCAGCGACGGACTTCCTAAAGGGCGTGATGGAGTCGTGCGCAAACAAGGCCATGAGCTACGAGGAGCGCAAGAAGCGACGCGAGGCCGAAGTCGCGGGCCTCAAGGACGCACTGGAGATCCTGAGCTCCGATGAGGAAAGCTTCTTGCAGGTCGCGAGCAAGAAGTTCCTCGCCAGGAAGTGAGTCTTGAAGGGAAGACTTGGTGCGGGCGGGGCGTTCATTTTGGACAGATTATAAACGTTCTCTTGGACAATTTAGATTATTTAGATTTAGACTTTCAATATCGTAGGAAAAAAGACAGTGGTATCGTTACGTCTTGTGTCGTCTAGTATGTAGGCTGGCACATAACATTTGGTGATTTATTAGGCGTAGGACGTTTTATTTCGTTTCGCTCTTCATAGTTTTTTCCGGATTGTAGTCGAGGCACATGTACTTGAACTTTCTATTTTTACTAGAGATCACAGGCAAAGTCGATTTCGTTACTAAAGATCGCAGGCAAAAACTCATTTCGTATTACGAAAGGCAATTATTTTTCTGGCACATTGCAACCGAGTATATGTTATTTTGGGTCATGGCGTACAAGCTTTTGAATGTTTTGGGTTGATTATCTTGGATTGAAATTTGACGAAATTCGTTTTCCGGAAATGTTTTCCGGAAGAAATGCAGCTGAGCTTCGATTAGCCCAGCTGCATCGAAAGGTTGATGCTGAGAGCATGGGAACACGCAGTGGACGTTGTTGTTTTTCGTCGTGGATCAAAAGCCGAAGGCTCCAGTAGTCGTGATTGATCTACGGAATGATCGGCGCCACAACATGGTACGTGTCGCTCCGTTCGGAGCAAGGATCCAACGATCTGTATCGTGTGCGCCCTAATGGTGATCCGCATTGTGTGCTCCGAAGATCAAAACAGCTTCTTGGGTGATCTGGGTAGCTTTCTGTTGAGATCCTTCGAAGGCGTGTTTCATCGTCGTGTAAACGTGCCATCATACTAAGTACATGAATACTGACTAATACGCAATTGTAAATCTTTGTCACATTCACAATCATACTACTGAATCTTCACCCAATCATGTCGAGATAGAATGAAAAGACCGCTGCTGCGGCAGCGCCGTGCCGCGCTCGCGGCATCCTCTTTCTGGGGGCGGATGGGTGCGACTGCAAGACGATTTGGGTCCACGGCCCTCGGATCGACCGCAGATTCATCAAGTAGTGGCCCGTCCACCGCAGTTACCGAGGCAGCCGAGTACCTGCGCTACTTAAGGGAGCGGGAGAGGCGGAAAGAAACTCGACGCGCGAATGCTGCCAAGAAAATAATGGGGTCGTCCGAGCGCATGGAGACTGCGATGGAAAGACCACTTTCTGGACAAGAAAGCTTTGCAGCAGGACAAGGAATGCGAGTCAGCGTAACGATTGGGTTCAAAGGAGACTCAGAAATCCCGACCGTGGCGGATCTGGCCAAGGAAGCTCATGCGGGATGGAGCAACGGCGTGGATGATCCTGCTTTCTGGAGCAAATTGCACAAACAGTGGAAGGACAAGGACACTATCGTGGATGAGTATTCGGCTCGAGCGGCCCTACATTTTCTGTGGACGTGCGTGGAGGCGGGGCATCCGTGCGATGCAGAGGGCCTCTACCATTTCTTCAATCAGGTAAATTTCCCGTGAGGACGTAACCCACTTGTTCTGAGTGCTTGATTAATATGACAGTAGGTACAAGGCCATGTAAATGTCTTGGGATACTTATCTAAATCGTAATCTGTGATCTCCTATCATGAACGATGGTAACAGAGACAAAATTATGCGTATCTGCATTGCATTGATCATCAGTAGCATTGATGAAGGAGAATGTTCTTCTAAATCTTCTTCAGCATAAACAAAGGTCCTTGCTCTCGACAAGCGCGTCAAAGGGAGGACTCCTGGGGATATTTTGGCCCAGGCTTTACGGTTGCTGTGCATTTTCGACGACACCTTCTTGCAAAGACGGCTTGCGTCAGATTTTTGTGCTCGAGCGGAGGCATTAGCGACGCCGTCTGCCACGCTGTCTGCGATGTGGAGCGTAGTTTTTATCCTGAATCGACGCAAGAGAGCCGCGTCAGGAGGATTAGAGTCTCTAGCCTCGGGAGCAGGACAAGCTGGTGAGGATGCCTTTCTCGTTCTTCCGGTTTTAGAGCCAGACTTTGTGCGGGCGCATGTGGTTGGTCGACGTGCCGAGCTCACCGCTGCCGACGTGGCAACACTGACCGATGCTTGTGTTGGCATCCTAGAAGTTTTGAAATCGACGGAATGCTTAGCCGCGTCTGCACCGAAACCAGATAATTGCAGGGAAACCGCTTATCCTTCTAGACGAGACATGTTGCAGAATGTAGCCAGGAAAAAGTTGCGAACTACGGCAGATATACTGCGCAACGAAGTGGTACGCGGATTCTTTTCGAGAGCCTCTGCGGGAAACATGACTGCCTTGGATTGTGCAAAGGCCGTGCACGGACTAGCAAAGCTGCGCTTAGAAGACCGAACAGCCATGGACGCCTTGGGAAAGCGATATGAACAGAGATATTGTTGTTCCAAGCGGAAGTTTAGGCTCTGCGAGTTCCTTTGTTTAGAATGAAATATCAAGTCTTCGGTCTTCGTCGGTTCATCAATAACACTATTTGACTTTTATTGTTCTGTTTCGAAAGCATGGAATAGATTCGACTCATCAGGGAACTCGACTACTTTCTTGCTCTAAAAGATTCTGCAGGAGTTATCAGACAGTGGCGATTTCGTCGCAAGCTGCTTCCAGCAATCGCTTGCCGAAAGTAAGGGTCACGTTCAGATGTTTCTCACGTCAGCGGTTTCAGCAGCACAACGAGTGAGCGCACTTTCTGGGCGGGACGGAAGCGCGCTTTTTCCTGCCACAAAGACGAATCTGTCGCAGCGACGAAGCGTTAGTGAAGTGCTGAAGCAACGACTCGCAGCAAGGCGCGCCAAGGCCAAAAATAGACAGGAAACGGGAGATGCAGTTGATGGCGCTGCGGATGCTGGTCCTGAAACCAGTACAAGAACAGGTCTGTTGGTGGACCACCAGGTTGAAGAGGGAAGTAGAGATGCACCATGTGGAAATGCCTTATCGTCGAAGAACTACGATGTTTCTGCAATAGCAGCGCACACGTTTTTGTGGCAACCTGAGACACTTCCACGCATCCTCGCGAAGACGGCGTACGGGTTTGCAAAGTTTCAAGGTAGTTCCGGAGCTGCCTTGTACGATCGTCTCGGGATTTTGGTGAGGCGACATCTTTTGGATTTCGATGGTGCGCGGGAAATGGGACTGGTGCTTACGTCGTTTTCACGCGCTGGCGTAGCCAACGAAGTTCTGCTCGCAAGGATGATCTCGCGAGTGCGCCAATGGGGTGGCGAAGGACTCCTGCAGCGTATACGGAGTGCATCTGACGGAACGAAAGCCGTGGCCTTCCAAGATGTTCTGAATTATGGAGAGACTTCCGTTGCGGCGGATGTAATCGAATACGGACTCAGTCCTCGAACTTCTACACTCTCGTGATTCAAGTATTCATATCACTGTTTAGAAAAATATGTGCTCCTGTTAAGAGAAGTTTTTAGAGCATACCATCTTTGCGCGTACTTTTCGGGTCTCTTTTTCCGGCTTCATAACATTTTGGCGATGGGCTTCGCGAAATTTCAGGTCAAGGACGAGAAGGCGTTTCTGACCTGTTTTTCTCCCGTTTTCCGGTCTTTTTTGCCAGACACGCATGCGGAAGACGCATCTCCGACGAGCGCAGAGGATGAGATCTTCGGACGACCGAGCGATTCGCTTACGAGTGATCCTACGCGAACAAAGCGGGGTGCGCGACGAGCACAGAAGAAAGCTGGTACTGATGAAAACCGTATAAATTTATTGAGTTCGGCTTCTGCTTGCTACGACAAGGCGTTGTCATTGTCTGAAGCGTCAACAACACAAGTAATCGGTGCTTGATGGAGTACATCTTTGGATAAATGGCTACAGTAGGGATAAATGGTGCTTGTTTTGAAAAATGGCTACCCGCCGTATAGATGTTTTCGTCGATAATGTCGACGACCCTCTAATGTCGGTAGGTCGAAAATCCGAACCGACAACGATAATTTTCTCAGATAACCATTTTCCCAGGTGATCAATAACCATTTTCTCAGATTTAGCCTGCACGCCGCTGGAGAAGCAAGAGCGTGAAGTGGAAGATCTCGCTCGACGATTTCCAGAAAACCAATTTACGGAAATCCAGACAGCTGATTGGGTAAATGTCGCCCAGGCCTACGGCAAGGTGCACGTTTTAGACGAGCCACTACTACGAGGCATAGCGGACCTGCTGTGCGAGAGATTACTCACGGAGGACGCAAACAATATTCATCTTTGTGCCAGTGGTGGTGCAGGGGCTAGGCGTGGAGATTTGGTCGACACGTTGGACGAGGCGACTTCGTCATCTGGTACGAAGAAAGCATCTTGTTTTCCTGTGAGCGACATCGTGAAGTATGTGAATGCAATGTCCAAGGTCGGCTGTGCGCATACCCGCTTGCTGGGACTGCTGGTGCAACGACTACGACGTGATCTCTTTACGGCTTGAGAGGATCCATCTTGCCCAGCATCTTGCCAGCATTTTGAAAGGAAAACGAGCACCAGGATGCTGACCAAGATGGATTTCTGCAAGGTCTAATCTCTGCGTTGAGAACGACCTCCCACCGTTTGACGCACTGCAGCTGTCGCAAGCGCTGAATCGCCTAGGAAGTTCGGAATTTCCAGAGCTAGAGACTTTCGTGGCCACAGTTTTACCGAACGAAATCCGGTCTAGTGAGGTCTCTCCAGAAACCCGCAGACGCATAGCAACCTTACCGAAGCACCGTAAGAGCGCACGGAGGCGGAAGCGGACGTGGTGATATGCTAGGGCTGCGGTCTTAAAGGGGAAGTGCTACTCAGACCATCTAACTGGATGAAGGAGTTTTTTAGATTTTTTAGAAATGGATACGAGGGATTATTGATTTCAGGAAACGAAAGAACGCGACGCTGTTGTTTAGGAAAACGCTCGTTCAATGGGAACATCGGCCCAATTTAGAAAATTTAGATTTGACGGGAACATGATTTTGACCGGATTCTAAACCTAAGTGTGATGACAACGCAACGCGCACAATTTGATTTCGAGATTTGGAACCAGACAAGAAAACTTGACGTTTAAACTTTCACTGAACGAAACCTTTTACCATGACACGCTTACGAAAAGGCGATGAATAATTTAGAATGCGTTTTAGATTCCAGTCCCAGGCGGCTGACCTATGTTTGATGTCGGTTTCCATGAAAGGGGTCTTTTAACGTGGTCGGTTAGGCGGAACTCTGCACTACCACACTGAGGCGATGAGCATGAGATCCGAGGAGCAACCGAGGTTACATGAATGATCATACGCGCACCACGCTTCGATCCATAACGTCAATTTGGCTGTATGGTTCTTTCCTGAAAAATACGATATGACGAAACCCACTTTTCCCCCATTTACAAATTCTGTAATTATTCATCGCGTAATATGCTCTATTTTCCAAATCAATCTATTCTGTTCCCGCATTGATACTCGGTCTTTCATGAAATCCAATTTCATGCCGCCTCGTCTCCTCGTCCTGTCTTGAATCGCGACCTGTCTTGCTTCCATAACTGTTGCAGGCCCCATAATAGCGTGGGCATCAAACAAAGATGGTAGCCAAGCGCCGTGCGTTGCTGGCCGCGAGCGCCAGCGCTGCGGCTGCGCACAAGGCACCAGGCGCTGCATACACTACGTTGACTACGCTGTTCACCACTCTGAAGAAGGAAGCAAAGGACCTGTTCGATATCAAGGTGCCAGAGCTTGAAGAGCACAATGCCGACTGCAAAGAGGCCATCGATACAATGGCTGAGGAGATAGCGAAGCAAACGAAGCTGAAGGTGAGCACTTGTGGAGACAATATTTGTTGACCCCTTGATACAATCTGTTGTTGAACAAAGGTGATGATGAAAAACACAACGTTGAGATAGACGAGGTCTGAGTAATGTCGGAGTATACGACGATGTTCTACTTTGGTACCTGCACGCGTAACTACGTGGAAAAGGGATAATTTTTCGTGATCGTGTGAATGAAGATTCAAATATATTTTTATCTTTCTCGTCTAGGAATCTAGTATCTATGAAACTTCGATATCTCCCCCCTCACACCCACAACAGACTGAAGCAGAAACAGCAGAAGCTGACGCAGAAAAGGCAATAGAGGCAGCGGAAGCAGCAAAGTTGAAGGAAGAGCAACTCAAAGACGCTGCGGAGACATCGAAGGCAAATGCCGTCCTCACATACGATAAGACGACCGCTCGCATGGGATACGACCTCAATTATGGCTAGTAGCAATGTCAATGTGGGTAGAAAAATGAATCTAAGTCAATATAGTTCCGTTACATTTTTCAATGTGAGTCAGCATAATGTTAATTATTCCATGTATTTTGTTCAAGTAGGTCGTGATGCAAGGGGGCAGCTAGTAACTAGCAAGTTGCTTATACTGTTAATATTCCTGGATGGTGATAGAAGCACGAGATTAGGCTAGAAGAAGTCGGAGATAGTTCAGAAAACGATAATACTAAGAACTGAGGTAGCCAAGAGTAGAAATAGTTTCTAGACGAAGAAGATCCAACGACATAGTGCTAGTGGAATGGTGGAGGTAGTCTGAGAATAATCACTAGAATATCATCTTCACAACAGCTCTAATGATTGCAGCTCCAGGACGCGACTTCTGGGCTCGACGACGCTCTGGGAAAAATCAAGGCTGACGCAACTTTGGCGGACAGCACGAAGAGCAAGCTGCAGCACACCATGTCGCAGCTGAAGGACAAAATGACCGAAGACCAGAAGAAGTTGTCCGACGAAATCGAACTGGGCAAGGACTTCCACGCCGAAGCGCAGAAGACGCTCCAAGAGCAGATTGATGCGCATGCTGGCGTGATCTCCGAACTCGTGATCACGGTGGACACGGAAAACGGCAAGCTGACGGCGGCGAAGAAGGCTAAGGCAGAGGCGATCTCGAATATCAATGCGGAGAAGGCGTCGAAGCGCGCGAAAACCGCAGCCTGTGCGGAGAAAAAGGCGGCCCTGGAAGCAGAAATCAAGGACGCGGATGACCGCATGAAAGCCCTTTCTGCGGCTCTGGATATCCTAGGGGAGCCAGCCGCTGCGGCTGAGGTAACTGTCTCTCACATCACGACAACCACTCTTTTCACTAACTTTCTGAAAGAAAACCACATCAAGAACCCTCAACTACAGCATTGTCTCCTCACAACATCGAGAATCACAACCCCTCCTACATCATAAAGAACACCCCTCTCCATGTATTGCGTTTCCTCAACTCCAACGAACAGCTGCTCCAAGCGGAGAAGGTTATCATGCTGCAGCAAAAGCCAGCAACGGGGTTCCTTCAGCTGCGCAACAGCCCTAAAAAGCCAGTGCTCGATCTTCTCGCCACCATGTCATCCAGTTGCAAGGCCGCCGATCTCCTTCGCTTGGCCCTCGATCAGAAACCAGGTGTTAATAGTGTCCTGCAAAGGTGGTGATCATGTTGTGTAATTGAAAGTTTTATTTTGCATCGAAGTGTCCAAGCCTGATTTTGACCATTCGCGATATCTCCTTTGTGATCTATCGTTTTTCTTTCATTCTTAGGAGGTAGGAGTATGTATGATTATCTGTCATCATTTTAAATGACCCTTTTTATTTATCAAAATACTGTATGATTTTCTGTCATCATTGTCGATCACCCTTTATTTATCAGGTGCTGCCGAAGCGTTTTCGAAAATCGCATCTGAGATCGATACACTGTCGAATACCATGTATGAGCAGCAGGAAGAGGACCAGAAATCGAAGACTTGGTGCCAGCAGAAGGAAAATGAGCTGACTTTGCGAATCCAGGACTTGACCAAGACGAAAGAGGAGCTAGAGCTCGCCGTCGAATCCCTCGGAAACACGGCAGCCTCGCACAAGATCAAGGTAATTGAGCTCTGTCGGGTTTTTGTGTGTAGAACTTCTTGTTTTGGTTTTCTGTTGTGAACGAACTTTTAACCAAATGGTACACTCCAGAAACCTAAAGCTAGTGAAAACATCATCACCATCTAAATCTAAACATCTACAAAGGCCGAGAAAGCGACTTCCGATATCAACGCAGCGACGAAACAGAATGTGAACGACCATAAGAAGCTGGTCGAAGACCTTGATGCGAACAAGGTAGAACAAGAGCAGCTAAAGGAAGACTTTGGCAACCTGGAGCAGGCTAAAATCGCGCTCACGAACGTCTTCAAAGGACGGTACTTTTTTTTCCAATCGCAAGCGCTCAACGACATGTAGATCAGGGACTTCGACGGACAACTAGTATCATTTCATATATCATTTTCCATGTCTAGAAAAAGCACATCCTCACCCATGTTCTGCTTAATATCCCCTATTGATTCCGCACCATCTATCTTCACATTTTTCAACTACAGTACCGAGAGCGGCGGCCACATTGTCTTGGACGAGGTGGACAAGGTGATCGGCCAGTACGAGGTTGCTATGACCGAGGCCGGCCGCGCCGAGAAGGAGATCCAGGCCTCCATGGAGAACACGGAGGACGACCATAAGACTAACATCGCGCGCCTTTCGACGATCGAGAAGCGCAACAAGCTGGGGCTCAAGGACAACACCGCCAAGCAGCTGTCAAAGTCGGACGCGCTCCGCGTGACCAACAGCGATCTGAAGGTCACTCAGGGCACCATGGTCAAGGTGGTCACGGGAGAAGAAGCCAAGTGCCTCAACTGGAAGGAGATGTACACCTCTAGGATGGCAGACCGCAAGGCCGAAATCGATAACCTCAAGTCCGCAAAGGAGGCCTTGTCGGAGTACATGACCTCGCTCGGACTCAAGATGACCATGTAATATGGTCCTCTTGCAATAACCAATTTTTACACTTTTATAGTCATAACCTACCACCGGGGTGATAGTGCTTGGGTAGGTGAAGAAGAGGGTTGTGACGGTCTTAAAGAGGGTGAGGAATTTAAGCATGTTTAGGTGAATAGATATAGCTGAACCAGAACAGTAGTAGCAGTCTCGTCTTGTAAATGAATCCTTGTAGGCATAAATATCGTATTCCATTGACGCTACATGACATGAAAGGAATCCATGACAATGCTGCAAACATAGAGATGTCTAACGATGAAAAATGATGCTATAGAAACGCAAAATGTACAGTGTTGCAGCACTGCAATCTTTTTTCTCTTATAGGCTAACCATCAGCACGCATTTATTGGTATCGCATCAACCCTCACTCTTACTACTTGTTCATTCTCTTAGGCAACTGTTTGTTATTTTGTTTAGGTATTTGACACTCATTTCTTGAATTTTCTCTCGTATGACAAACTATTGAATTTCGATGCAATGGCAAATCAACTAGGAATCCATGAAGGATTTAGATCTCGTTTTTTACTGTATGCTTCACTTGAGTGCACAGAGGGTTGCACAGAAATACAGCGTAGCCGCAAGAAACTCTTGCGTTCCTCGCATCGAGGGTGCAGAGACATTGCACCGGACCTGCGATCTTTGTCAGGCATGAGAATGTCGAAGCACCGTCTGTAAATCCAAATTCTTGACCGCGTCTGCTTCATGGTGACTTCAATACGGATATACATCGGTCTGATCCTCTTCGTTGAGGACCACATCTCGTACGTGAAGTCACGCATGTCCTGAATTGACATTCGAATCTGGTTTTCGATCGTTCGAAATTTCGGTCTTTGATTCGTTGTTGCTCCAAGATGTCGACGTTCCCTATTGGAATCCTTCTTAGTTAACGACTCTTGTCCCAGTGTTCCACCTCCAACGTTCTTGACTCGTAATGACCAGACTGATGCAGTACGTTCAATGACCTCATCTTACTTTCAGTGAAGCTTATTTCTTTAACATTTTGTGCAAGAAAGATGCCTAACGCACTGGATCGCGAGGCCAGGTTGGCCAAGCTGATGAACTCGGCTTGTTACGGAAACAAGGACACTGGAGACAAAGCACAGCATGGCGAAAAAGTCGAGAATTCTACTTCCGATGCAGGCACCACTAAGCGATCTGGCAGAGCCATTCCGCAAATTCTCACAGCGTCCGGTGCAACGGTGAACGCCAGCTCACACGGTGCCTCGTCCCGACTGCCACGTGGTGGCACGTATACTCTAGGCGATTCGAACCAGTTGGCAGTTCCGACTACTAGTCGTTCTACTGCACGCGCAGGAGCATCTTCGAGTGGTATTCCGACAAACAAGGGACGCGGAAAGAATTCGGGCCGCAGTGGTGCATGCGGGTTCACGCCATCGCAGGGTCGTGCGGCGGTATCGGTGGAGGAGAGTCGCCGCGCTGTTGCGAACAGAAGTGGTCGTGAAGTGAACGCAGGTGTACAGGCCGCCGTCAACGCAGAACTCCAGTCACTCTATTCCGCACACCAGAGTGCTGAGGGAGAAACACAGCGCCCCGGGGCCACATCGAGACATGGAGGTCCTACTGCGAACTCCAGCAGAGGAGGTGGTGCATCTACTTTAGCGGGAAGAGCGCCAGCCTCAGCATCTTCGTCTGCGAACCAGAATAGGAATACCTCGAAGGCACCCGGAAGCAACATACACACCTTATCGTCAGGTGGCAGTAGCTCTAGCACTGGGGGCTCAAGTCGCTTGACGGAGACGACCGAAGCCTACAGGCAAAGCCGCGGTACAACCGCACGGCGACTCGAGGATGTTGGTGCCGATACAATGACCGCAGACCAACGAGAGAGGGTAGCAAAGGCGCGCAAGGTCGCAGGAAAAGACCCATCGGGCAGTTCCGGCACACGGTCGATTGGTACTACTCTGAGTTTGAGTACCCACCAGAAAGATCTTTGGGAGAATCGGAAGACGATACCCGCAGACAACTAATCTGGCGATGTATGATGTACATAGATTAACGGAGGTTCGTAAAACGAAAGATTTTTGCCTGAAATATGCGAAACACTGAATTTTTTCCACATAAAAAAACTCAGATACTGGCTCATCTAGGAGCAACGTCCACGGGATAGCACAGGCTCCCGCTGGAGGAAGAGGGCGTGGGAAACCGGTGACGACAGGTGGTAGGGCTCGTACGGGAGGACTGCGAAACTAGCGCTTAAATTTTGAAGTTGGTCACGTAGCACTGGTATGAGAGATAGCAGAACTATGCGGATTGAGATTTCGCTGTAGCGATCGGAGCAGAGGTTCTGGGACTAATCAAGTTTTTTTTTCTATTTTTTTGCTGGTCGAGGAGAATAGAACCATCTCAGGACAGCCTACAAAGGTACAAGGAACTCGTTCAATCAGGAACATTTTGCGCGAGTAAATGCGTTGTGAATCCTAGAAATTCTTTGAATCTTTCTAATGTACTGTGAACTGTTTTTTTTTCAGTTGACGTGTGGACGGTTCGGACAGTCATCTGGAGCCGCTAAAGGGTGGATGGATTTGGCTACTGTGTTCGCGGAATCGGTGTCACAGGGACTCGATCTGACTGTCACAACCAAGTTCTAAGTACTCTTTTCCGTGATCTCATCAAGCAAGATCTTCTATCTCATAAACTTATACGAAAAAGCTGTCGGAAACGTCTACAAAAGACTACTGTCATTTTCGGTACAACATCTGAAGTTCGGTGACAACGAAATAAGGCCTTCTGGCATCTCGTAAAGTTGTTGCACGATCTATGCCTTCTTGATTTCCAAAAATACCACGCATAGTCAGAGATGCTCGGTTTCCCTACATGTACAGAGGAAACCTTTGCTGTAGATGAACATTGATGGTGTGCCTGTATAGCAGTAGTTCTGCCCTATTTGCTGCTTTGTTATCTAGCAAGTTCCTCATCTTACGGTGCTGATATCATACGTCCCTCTTGTTTCCCATTCTTTTGAACTCTTTTTTCTTTTCGAACTATTTTTTTAGGCCATTTTTTGCAGATTTTCTAGTTTTCCTAATGTCGACGTGACGTCTAGTGTAAATCCAAGCAACACGTAGAAGGGCATGAATTAGCTTGTTGCCACCGACAAGCAGAAGACCGCCATACAATGATCATCCAAATATGAATCGTTGATAGGAATTTTGTTCTTTGGCGTTTTGTCTACACCCGAGTGGAATAGGCAATGCGTGTGGCGCAGTGTGAAGATATTAAGCTTGATTATGCATCTGAGCATGCACTACGGAAGATGTACTATTGCTTATGATAAATGAGGTCTTTTATGCATAGCACTTGCACTGTTTTATCAATCTTTTGTTGGTTTGTTTAGCCACCATTTGTCGTGCATTGGAATTTGTTATCTGGTTTCCATTTGATGACGTTGCCAACACCAGCTAACTACCAATCGCTCTATGTTTGTTATATAATTTGATGTTCTGATATGGTACCAGGATGACGACCTCCATGCTCCCTCCCCCTATGGGCGTTGTAGCAGCATGGCCGACGAAACTCAGAAGACGTCGACACAGGGATCGAGTACCTCCATATTCAGGAGTCTGCACGATGATGGCGATTTATGGATTTGGTTATCGGAATGATATGTAACTCATCTATGCAAGAACTAGCTTAATATTTGTGGTTTTTTTCTGATTTTTCACTACCGTCTGAACGGGATGTAGTTGTACTCAGCTCTAGCTGATAGAAGACTTGTGGTCATCTCCGATCTACATGTTTTACATTCAGATGACCAAGAAAGTGGTAAGTATTTCAGACCCTTTACGATTGCTAAGACAATGCTATCAGCGCATGTGCGCTACTGCTTTCCGCGGTGCAAGTGCGGGCAAGTTTGCCTGCGGGAGAGACAGCGCATAAATGTGCGGAAAGTAGTCTGTCGAGCGTGCTCAGAAAAGACACAGTTCAGGTATCCATCCGATATTGCCGTCTTGCTCTGCAAGACGAAGATTTGTTTGTGGTTGCTTCTTTCGCTAAGCTATCATAGCTATCATAAGACAGCTTTTTTCATCTTGTTGGGTACTAAAAAGTGCCTGATATACATACTTATCAGTTCTCCCGTGAAAGAGTACACTACAACTCCTACTACTAGGCCCAAGAAGTACTTGTAAACTGGTTTTGGTTTCATCCTCGAAGGAGGTTTTAGGGGTTCCTGCAAGTGTCCTCTACTCACTTGATTCAAATAGATTTTGAGTCCTTTTCTTGAGAGTTGTTCGTTGGCGAGTTATGAGACTTGTATAGCAAACTAGCTACATTGGAGGGTGAGAGCATCTGAAATTCAAATTCAACAGTTGTTCGATGTATTTTTCATCGATAGACTGCAGCGGCGTGCGCTGGAGGCAGGCAATGTCGACGATCTCGTTTCGCGCATATGTGAGCTGAGAAAAGAGCAAGTTGGTCACTCCTCTTGTGATGCTGTTCAAAGCCTCACACCTCGCAGCAGCACTAGTAGAACAGCAAGTGGTAGCAAAGCTAGTAGCAGCAGAAGTGCTGCACAAGATGATGAAGAAGAGGGTCCTGCTGCTGTTGATATTAAGGCTACCGCAGATGCGAATCGGCAACATCATCCTTCCTTGCCCTCCTTTGTTTTCGACTAGGAACAAAGGGGACCAAGAAGGTTGCTCTCAGAGATGCGAACTAATGATAGTGATAGGTAGTGATAGCTGCTGTAGTGATAGAGATGCGAACGTGGTAGCAGTTCTAATGATCCTGATAGCGGCTCCAGGACTACAACTTATTCAGTGGCTTCTGGAGTTTCGAAGAGTCGCCTCGATCTCGTTAGTGTGAGCAGTTATCGCCTCTTTGTCGATTACACCCACAGCCAGGACGATGAGTTGCACCAACAGTACTTGCAGAATAGAGGGAAAGCTGGATTTTCGGTTGCCGAATGTTAAGACTACAAGTCAGCAATGTACAAACTAATTATTGTAATCAACATGCTACTTTTTACTTGTGAATTTAGTGCCTCAAACGAAGTGGAGTAATTCGATACAGGTGCCCTGGTACTTCATGTATAAGTATCAGCATTCTTTAGCTAGGCTCCAATGGGATGACTTTGTTTAGGTTATTGCATAATGGTAAAGGAGCGGTTTCTAAGAATCGAATCCTTTTGAGGACACTGCTGCGGTGTGTCCTAGGACAGGGGCTTTCGTTTATAGCAGCACTCTTCCAAGATTAAGGCGTAGTACCTCCAATCGACACGAGTATCTATCAATAAGTTCCAGCGTAGACCTCTCACGTATTTCTCTTCTCTTCTCCTCTTTCGACGCTTCGGCATGCTTACAACTTGTACTTGCTATGACCTTTTCAACTAGAAGGGAGGAGGGTCAAGATGTCTTCTGTGTGAGCTTTTGACTCAGGGGAAGCATGATGACCCATTGTTCAAACAGGAGCAGGAACGGTAGAAACCACGAAGTGTATCTATCATATGTCATGCAGGCTAAGGGTGGCAGAAACAAAGGCACTACAATATCATTAAGTAGATATGGTGCAGGGGGATAGACCGAAGTATAGTACGTGTCAACCGAAGTATATCTACTAAGAGAAGAGGAAACAGCTTCTTCGGAGAGAAGTAGAGCGCTTGTAAACCACGACTTTCAGCGGGAAATTACGACCAATGCTCGGATAGCGGAAATGATGGGGACTCATCCACCAAATCGGCGACGAGGGACGCCCTTCCGTTTTTTGATCCAGACAACTCCAGAAGGATTTGAAAGAGTGTTAAGGCCGCGATTAAGAGGGGAAAAGTCAGTAGTTTTATTCAGAGGCGTTTGAGAGACAGAGAGTCTTGCTAAGGCCACGAGTACTAGTTAAGCTGATTCCGCAACCGTTATGGTTCGACGCGTGCTGCTAGTGTCTTGGCTTCGGTCACGCTCACGATCAGAACTTGTCTCTACGTAATATGTATGACATTAGTTGAACGTGTCAATTAATTGTTTGAAAGGGCGGTGGCATATAGTCCTAACGCAAAAAAAAAAAGAAACTCTACGGGTGCTACGGACAGCACTATCAGAGACGCGCACATCACGACATCCACCTATAAACCATTCCTGGTGGCTCTAATATCACCATCATCTTTCCGCACGTTGGCCACTAGGGTCAACTTGGGGGTCGATGCATTTAGCTCGTTGCAAGCGGCAGGAGTGGCCTCAGACGACTTGGAGCTCGCTGCGGCTGTTGTGGCGGAACTCCATAAGATTCCCCTTGCTTCACGAAAGGAATTCGCGGCGCTCAGAGCGGTAGAGATAGAGATATTTTTTTTGGATAGGTGTACACTGGTAGGATATTCAAGCAATTACTTTTCCGCTGCAAAGCATATTTTTGGTCGATTTTCTTTTGGAGTTTCTCTTTCTAGACGCCAATGGTATCCCCGGTCGGCCGGCGGCATGTTGGAACGAGAGCCGTGACGGATACACTGCAAGGGCATTCGCCAAGACCATCGACCAACACAGACGGGCGCTCCCCCTAAGTTTATACGCCGGCGACGACGGAGCCCTCCGCCAGCATCAGCCCGCCTCCCGGGGGCTACAGCATTGCCGTTCAGTTTGGCTGCGAGTTTTGAAGATAGTGCCAGGGCCCCGAGCGTGCTACGAGTCGCGAGAAAGGCACCGCCTCCGCTCTTCTGGAAGGCATTCGAAGCGCGCAAAGGCGCCACCGGCATCGAGCACCCGCAGCAACGAGACGCCGGCAGCTTTCCACTTCACACCTAAATGCGTGGACCAGAGTGGAGCTTCGAGCCGCAAGGGGTAGTCTGCGGTGTGGCTGATAGCGCACGCAGGAAGGTGACGCCTCGCGGTTGCGTGAGAAGCTTACCGCGCTCTGCGGACGTGGTGGCCAGCCGGCGCTTGGAGTCGTATGAAGTTTCGGCACTGGTCGAGGAGTTGACTCGGCTGATTGGGCCCTAGCGGTTTCCGCCCTCGACTCATTACCACGCGGAGGCCTTTCGGCGAGGGCCTTCTTCGATTGGCCGGGGGACATTCTGGGGGCGGCCTGTTTTTCCGGTGTCACAGATGGCGAAGGCTTGGCCGCCAGAGGCGGCTGCGCCTGGGTTTTGCAGTGTGCGACACCGGCGTAGTATCAGCGACATTCATCGCGGGCGTGCTTACCGCATGGCGCGCGTGCTCTTGCCAGTGGGTTGTCTAGCTTTCTGAATTCCTCGGGGGGCCGCGCTGTGATGGCTTTCGTCAGTGCTTTAGTTATCGCGCGACAGACGACAGTGGCAACGCGCTGGAGAGCTTGCGGGGTGGAAAGGGCCAGGGCAGGGAAAAGAGTAAGGGATAGGCCCTCGTGCACAATCGTCCGCCCCACAGTACTGGTGAGCCCCCCCCTGTTTCTGTGTCCTTGCCCTCGTGGTGGGCTGCAACTGGACTCACCCTGCAGAGCTTAGGGGCCTCGTTTTTAATTTTATTTTCTTCTACTTTATGGTACTTAATCGTTTTTACTAACCTTCTTGTCTTAGTTTCGTTTTTACCTAGTCCTGTCTCACTCTTTCTATCTAAGTTTGCTGAATTGCATTTTTCTTCTCTTTTACACGCAAATAGGGTGCTGTGATCTCGAGCGAGAGTTAAGGAACCCCAGTTTCAACTGTGAAAAGATCTTGAATTAGCTTGATGATGATCTTAAGCATATCAGAAGGCGAACAACCCTGGCAATGAGCAGTACAACTCCTTAGATCTTCTTGCTCCTTTCAAGCCGCTCCTCTCCCTCTCATACCTCAAGAACAGGCTTAGTAGTGATGTGCCTCAATCCATTTCTAGATGGAAGTTCGTAGCTAGGGGCATTGCTGTCCATGTCATGCGAACTGACGCCGGGGGAGGTCCGCGGGGCGTCCCCTTTTGTTGTTTTGCTTTGTAAATTATTTAAAGGGGAGGTAGAATTAGAACAAATAGGGTCATTGGTAGACAACTGGGGTCTATCGAATCTTACCCACATCTTCAGGCGGATTTTTTCGGCATCGTTCGGCAAGGCTTGGAGCGAGGAGTAGTCTTCACTCAACGCCACGGCTTTTTGCAACGTTTGGAGTTTCTTGGGAGGAGGTCTACTAAAATGCCCGGTGACTGCGAAATAGACAAAGTTTTGGGTCCTCATGGTCGACGAGCCGCGCTACACGGCAGAGTGCAGATAGGAACGTTATGTCTAGTTTATCAATATGCCACGCGAACTATGCTGAGTGGAGTCCCTGTCGATATTTATTAAAGGGCAAAGATCTTAGGGGGACTGACACAGTGCATCCCACTCAGCCAGGCATAGTGAAAAACTCCCTTTAAGAACGGGTGGCGCGACATGCGACGACGCAGCGTCGGCTCGAAAAGCGGAGGGCCAGCGTGATGTCGATTTTTTGGACAGACGAAACGGTCTGAAGGACGCACAGAAGGATCCAATCCTTGTGAGCCAAGCACAATTGACCACAGTTCTACAGGCGGCCAGTATGTTACGAACCTAGTAAGTACCCAGATCTTTTGACGAATTCTTGAATCATGATCGTTAGAACAAGAAATCCTCATGTAGCAAGAAGTATGGTAGGTCATCGATCCTATAGTTAGATCGCTACTTCTAACATTTGGCTTTTACCGAGTCGAGGAGTTGTTAGAGGGGACTCAGCGATACTACGGCGGACCTTCTGTAAAGGATAGGTCTTCTTCGGGCAGTGGGAAAACTGGGTCATCAAACACGCTTGCGAGTTCGCTTTTTGGCTTCGCTGGACGTGCCTTAACAAAGTTGCAACGACGGAAACCAGATGAGGGAGCATCAGATTCGGCAGAAGCAGAACTGCGGGGAAAAAGAAATAGAAATGAGGCGGACGCGGGTCATAGTGACAATATGGTTGATGATGAGATGGATGCTGATGAGGCGGATGCCGCGACAAACCCAGAGGACCTCGAAGGGAGCAAAGTCGAAGGCGAAGAAGGTGAGGACACACCGGAAGAGCGTGCTTGGGTAGAAGCTAACCTCCAAGAGCGCAGAAAGGCTCTTGAAAAATTGCATCTTGTGATCCAAAACTTCCAAATTTCTACTAAAGTTGTGGAAACTGCACCGCCAAGCACTCCTACGGTAATGGCGACTACTCCTACATTAATGGCTTCATCTTCAACAGCGCAAACACCAGGAAGCCAACCTCAACACGTCCAAGAAATAAATGTTCAACAAAAGGGACTAAGGAAACCAGAACAGCATGTTCAGGAGGCAAGCGAGGCCACAGCGGATGGTCCAGCAAGTGGCGCAGGAGTAGACAGGAAAGACGAGGTGAAGCAGCAGTCAAATGCTCCTGTAGAAGTGGAATCGGCTGCGACCGATCAAACTAGGACGCCGAGCGAGAGCGAGGCAGGGCAGGGTAAGGCGCCTGCGCCCAAACTGAATAGGTTCGCGGCGAAAAGAGTACGGCAAAAAGCAGTGGAAGCGGGACAAGCTCTGGGAGAATCTCTTCAGACGATGTCGGCTGCCGAAGAAGGACGACAGACGACCCCGACCTCTGCAATGGACAGCGCTGTAGACCAGATGGCTTCATCTGAGCGGAGAGCGCGTGCGCGCGCAAATGTTGGCCTCGTTTGGTTGGCCACGTTGTTAGAGCGACAGGACTTGAGAAAACTAACCTTAGCAGAAGGGATGCTGTGCAAAGAGGCGATGAAAATTCTCTCCGATTTGGACGAAATAGAGAGGGCACACCTACTGGAAGATTCTGGTGGAAACAGTAGACAGCGACAAGAAGATGACGCTTCAGGACGTGCAGCCACAGATGATGCTCAAGATTATACATCGGCTGAAAATCACGGACGACCAGGAGGAGGTGTGACAACACTACCAAGTAGTGGTTTTCTTGAAAACAAGGCGGAAGGTGGTGGTGCTGGTGCTGCGCGTGTTGCTTTTGATCTGCATTCTGTGGCTAGTACTATTTCCGGGCTGAGAGTTGTTGCGGCATCAGAGTTGCAGAATCTGGTGGAGAAGTACGCGACCTTTTTAGCGCACTTCCTGTACGCCGGAGTGTATCTGTTGGAAGACACGACCGGAGAGGAAAACTATGCCTGGGACCAGGTCACTCCGAAAGTTAAGGCGAGTCGCCGTCAGTATCTGTATCTAGTGTGTTAGAGGGGTAACATAATCTTGAGTACGTAGAATCCATCCCCTTGACGATTTAATTGTAGAGGAATAATACTACAAGGGCAAGGGGGGAACAAACTCAAGG